ACCCGGATAACCAGGGCCGTAAATACCCCACGTTGCGCTCCTGGCCAGGGAGTCATGGACGCGCCTCCCCCGCCCTGGCGTTTTTCCTCGTTTGTGTCTGCCAGTCCTCCCGTCCCTAGAACTAAAACCTGCGTATCCACGTCTAAGTTTGCACGCCCTTATTTCAAGTGAATCTGAATGGCAAAGCCTAGTTGGGATTTTTTAAATTCAAGTATACGGAATGGTCATGAGCTCTTGAATATCCCCAAAAGTATTCATTGAGACGTTCACGAGTCTCCCTCTATAATTACAGCTCAGCTTTCCTTGCTTTGCGAGACGCAAAGATGTCGATGATATGATCGAAATCCACATCCTTTGCTGCTTGATTTTCGATGGAGAGCATTGCAAGGCTTCAGAGCCTTTCTTGGCCTATCGTGGATCGGATGTATGTCTTGACGAGCTTAAGCTTCTCTCCATCGACTACAGAAGATTAAGAGGAATCCTGAGAGCTATCTCCAAGTTGGGACGCGCATCGACCAGGCGTTTCCGATGGATAAAATTCAGAAGATCCAGCGATGAGGCATGACTGAAGTTTCGGTCCAGACAAGGTCCCCGATGTTGAAAGCTTTCCATCTCTGAGTGAAGCTCGGCTGCACTCAAATCGTTTGACGGTGGCAATACCGTTCAGGACTCTGAAAGAGTCGTTCGGGCTCACCCAATAAACGATCTATGGCTTTCAATGTTTGCATTCTGAAGAACTCTTCTTGGGAGAGGTCACCAACGTCGTCGATGGATTCTTCACCGGGCTTTCTTTTCTTTCGACGGCATCTCCTGATGGGAAAAGTGTCTTCGATGCCTTACTTCAGGCATTGTTTCCTTGCTTTCATCAGAGCCTCAGAAATCACTGACTCTCGGAATCGACTGCATGGTGTTCGTAAGTCCCAAGATATGAGAAGCCGAACCTGCTCTCAAGAATCAGGAGTCTACCACGCACGCCTCAGCATGTTCATGCGTGAAGATCGATCGGAATCTGATTACACTATGTTCCTCTTCTCGCGCCTGCGAGAACTGAGGATTCCTGCAGCCATTTTTTCTTTCTGTTAACCCTTATCCGGGAAAGGTATTTTTGTGACACAAACGGGCAAGGCCAAACATTTTTAGAAATTTTTCCTTAAAAGCAAATCCAAACGTTAAAAATTCGTTTTTGAATCTATGGATGACTGTCTATAGAACCCATATCAAATTTGAAGAATATTTCGAAAGAATTGCGGGGAGTAATGAAATGAAATATACCATGGGGGGTCCAATGGACCCGACCTTGCCTGGATAAGGGTTAAGGGTAAAGTGAACCTTTCATGGGAGTTCTACATTCTGAGTATTAACAGAAACTTTTCCATTCTATCTTTTACGACCATATTTTCACTGCCCAACGTAATTTTTTTTTCTTCATTTATTTCTTTGTCTCATTCGCCTTCCGCTTGCTTCACCCCCCCTCCCTTCACGGAGGCCCCCTTAGATGGTGCTCCCTTTGGCCCCCCCCCCTCATTTACAGCCCTGTCAGTACAATCGCATTGTGCTCTTGGTATGGTGCAGGTTAGGACGTCACAGCGCAGGGTCGCACATGCAATAAATGCGTCGCAAAGCAAAATCAGCAGGGTATGTTGATACTTTGGAAACGGACACTTGCGAGTTGCGGCATAGCGTCGGGGGGGGGGGGGGCCCTCCTCCCCCCCCCCCCCCCCCCCCCCCCCCCCCACCCCCCCCCCCCCCCCCCCCCCCCCCCCCCCCCCCCNCCTTTTTTCCCCCCCCCCCCCCCCACTTTTCAAGAAAAAAAGCCAAAAAAAAAGAAGGAAAAGACCCGTAACTGCATGATAACAGTATCCCAGAGTTCCCGTGCCCCCCACTTTGTCCTGTGTCCCTTCCCCCCCTTCCCCCCACTTTTTCCACCCACGCCACGCTTATGCCTGCGAGTGTTGAGATAGCCTAGAGAGCGCTTCCATGAAGCCTTTATGATTCCAAGAGTCCCTATTAGAAGTGGGCCCATCACCGTTTGGGGAGGCGTCAGTTCAGGCGGCAGCACAGACTTGGTGATCATCCGAAACCCGTCGGTGGCTGCTCAGCGATGTGTGGACATTCTTGTACCGATTGTCGTTCCCTTCATTGAAGCGCTTGGTCCAGATTCCATCCTGGTGGACGATAACGCCCCACCTCACAGGGCCCTCATGGTTGAAGTCTTCCTCGAAAGGAAAAGCGTCGTGCAACTAGTGTGGCCGGCAAGTTCCCCAGACTGCATTCCTATAGAGCATGTGATGGACATGCTCCAGCGCCGTGTGGACACCGCGAACCCTGGACGACTTGACTGTTGCCCAGGAATAATGGGCTGCAATCCGGCAGAGCGACATCATAACTGTTTCAGTGCCGTCGACACGACGGCATTGAAACTGTTAAGCCGCATCCGGAACGTGCCACGATGCTGTCAAGCTGTGATCCGTGCAAGGGGAAACCCTACGACCTACTGAACACGTCTAACCAGTGCAAGAATTGTGCCAAAGCCTGTGTTGCGTTTATTCTGACCTTGCATCATTTTCCCAAATTCTTCTATCCTGATCTATCTTTTTAAATGTTTCTTTCTGCTACCTGCAGTCTGATATACGACTTATAAATCATTCTTGAAAAAAAAAAGTCACTGGACTGATGTAACTTCTACAGTTATTTATAACAGTGGTTCACTTCGGATGTTGAGTGGTGTGTGCTGGGGCCTGCGCGAGGAAAAATGCACGACTTTGTTTCACCACAAACATAGCCACTCACCTACCCCGCGTGGTAGATGTGAATTTTCTGGGTTTTCTCATAGAAGCTTGGATAGATTCTATGAGATAGAACTCTTAGATAGAACTTCTTCATGGTAGGGTTACCTGACGTACGGTTATTTTCCCTGGACATGTCCCCCTATCTCGCCTTCAAGTTTCCGTCCGGCTGCTAGGCGTCCTCTTTTTGACTGTCCAAAATATGATAACCCTACGTCAGGGGCACTCAGTCCTCTCCTCTGATTTTTTTTTAGTGCAAACCCCTGGCATAGACGTTGCCGTGGCAACAGCAGACGACACGATAAGCTTGCTGTCCAATAAATATGGCGGCGCCCATGCCCGTATTGACTGCCACGAGTCCATTTCTGGAGGCAGCAGACCCATCGGTTAGGTCTTATAGGCCTAATCCGGTTCAGTGCCAGAAGCATTCTGATTTATTCATGTGTAGATTCTCTTTCCGATGTCTCGTCGTGATTAAAATGGTCAGTCTTAGATTAACTGCAATGCTAGGTTTGTGATTTGCTCAATATCGCCCTAGCCAAGGACCTTAGCAAACGTGAGGACTGGTCCTTACTTAGGTCTCGTTACACTAAATTCAGAATGATTTCATGTGTCTTTCGAAGGAACTAATATTTTTTTGGCTATTTCTCGTCTTGTAAACATCATGTACACCCTGACTTCGTTTTGTGAATATAAACCACAGGCCTATGTGTACACTTATCCTTGGACGACGTGAACACCTTTCCACCCGTTTCTGTGCATCGATACGGAAGGACCCCACACGTCCGTTATCCCCGCCACAATTTTCAACTTCCATGGGTGCATATGGCCCACAGTACGAGTAGTGCATGTATGCTAAAATGCATGTGACATGATTATCAGTCATGGCTATGGATAACTTATGAAGTAGGGGACATTGGTCAGAGGGAAACAATGAATAAGAAATGAACAAAGATGGTCATTGTGGTGGCTGGCTGAGATGTCATTGAGGGTACTGCAGCTGAAGTTTTGCCAAGATATCCCAAAATGGCAATTTCAGGTGCATGGTATGCTACCACACTTCTACCAAGTGGTTTTTAACAAGGAAATTCTCCTCTGTCAGCCCCTCTTTAATATATGCAGCTTCCTTGTCTCCCACTGTGCCTCATTTCTCTGTGTGCTGGCTCCAGTATAGGGAGCTACTAAATTCTGCTAATGATTCAATTTCAATCCTGCCAAGACCTGAGAGGGTGGTCCATTCATCTGATCAGATAGTTGTCCCCCAGGCAAATGTGGCAGCATATATTATGAGTGACTCCTTGTTGTGATGCTGGACAATGAACAACTTTCATTACCATGCTCCTGCAGATATACATGGGCATATGTGTCTCCATTGTGGGCATTGATAGGAAGGTGATGGAGGCTGCAGAATGCATAGTATGTACAGGGAAGGTCTGTAGGCTCAAGAGGTACTTTATTGAAATCCTTCTACCCATAGGTTGGGCTGTGGGTTATGGGAAAGCTGATGCAGGGCTGGGTGTGGCTAGCAATGTTGAAGTGTGTGCATATTTTAATATGCCCTGTTGGGCTAAGGTAAGCCTAGGCTATGCCTACTGCAGTCAGACCATATTGTAAACATTTGAAGTTGTATCTATTATCAATATCAGTATTGGATATGAGGCAGAATTGTATACTATGTGTCAAAAAAGGGGCTTTCATTTTTTGTATCATTTTTAAATATCTTCATCCTATTTTCACATTTTTTTCACATTTTTCAGCACATGAAATCTCAGATGACTAATAAATATTTCTGTCAAGTTTAAGAAAATCTCAATCAGTGTTTTCAATGCAATAACTTTTAAAATTGAAGTATTAAAGAGTTCATTGCACAACCAATATGTCTACTGCTCCAGTGTGCTCCAACATCTGAACACAAGCAGCAGGGAGACACCTTGAGGACACTGAATGAAAACAGATAGAACAGATTATGCACTGGGCCATTTTGTGCACCTCTTATTTGTGAAGGTTGCATTTGGCTGACTAAGAAGCATCACTACTTCAACCATGCACCAAGTAAATTCAAAATTCACTATATTGCAACTAGAGATTTTCCCTGACACTTTTTCTCCTGTATTTGTTATGCTTAAGGCAGACAGCTGTTACTGGTATACCTACAAACTCCTCTCTCTATGTCTTTTTAAAGTCATTACCATGCCCCTCTAGGTATGTTCTTGCCTGAAACTTTGGCTTGTCGTTGTTCTCCTTCAGGTGACATGTTTCAGCATTCAGAAGACTATTGAAAGTTTTGGGGTCATGTTACCTGAAAACATTCCATTGTTAAGCTTATGATCAAACACGATGTTCAAGAAACTCAGACAGAAAATTGGAGATGACACCCATCATCCACAAGACAATCAGGTTAGAGCAAGTGTCTTTATACTAAATCTGGCTAAGGTACTGGTTCTCTACATGCATATACCTGGCTTTTCCTATCATTAAAATATTATTTGCTACATGGTCATGGCTGCCTAGTTAGGAAACTCTGCATATTTCAGCTGCAATATGCATTTGTGTTAATTGACTGAGGCATAGTTTAATTATTGGAAACTTTATAATCTCCATCATCTTGTGATGTACTTCCCTCTGTCAGAAACTGGAAAACTCTAAGGAGGCCATGCCTCCCTTGTTTAGGAGGTATCACTGAGTACTTGTTAAAGCAAGACCATAGTGTGTACTATTCATCAAGGTTTCCCATTCATCAAGGTTTCCCAGCTTTTGCTAGGAAACCTTGACTAATAGTGAAAGAGTGATAGAGTGAAAGAAGAGATAGAGTGAAAGTCTTTTATGCGAGCAAAATAGTGCTGTGAGCAGACAGTGCACAATAAATAGAGGGGAAGGTGGTAGCAACAAACATCTACTGGACATAGCCTTCATTGCTAACCCCCTTGTAACATGGAATTGGGAGTGATAGGCCGGAGGAAATACTCTCAATTTTATGCTGACTTTGTGAAAGGGATTGAGGAGGTGTCCAAAGTTGGTGGACAGCAAAAACATGTCACATACTTGCACTCTTTTTAGGAAACCCTATATTAGCTAATAGATTATTCCATACAAATTCAACCAGTCAGTGCACCTGACCATCTCAAATTTATGATGAAATCCTCAGCAATTACTGTCAATCTAAAAACTTTGTTGAAGAAAAAAAAGGTGATGCTATCAGATAATGCAGTTAAGAAGATGCCACCTACTGTGGGGGAAAAGCAAGGATATAGGTCAATAAGTCCCTTTTTTTCCATGATAAAAATAATTTAAATTGGTTGGTAATGGGAGCTTGTACTCAAAAGTAATGTAGAATAGTTAACATTTTGTGTACCACACATTCAGGTTTTGGTTGGCAGTTTCCAGGAAGCCTGGCATTGACTGGCATTCCTATGATTCTACAAACCGAGTTTCTCATGTACTCTGATATGTTTAGTCATTTTCATTGTGTATGCCTTTTTTTTTATTTACGGATTGGAGAACATTTGACATTCATGTTTTATATGAACAAGCATGAATTTGCTTTATTTGGTAATGGATACCAAGGTACAGGGTAGTTCAAGAAAACCTCACCAAATATCAGCTTGAAAAAACTTGCATATTGAATTACAAACTGCATGAGCCTTGCAGTTTTAATAACTGTGAATCACATGACCATGTCATGTCAAAAATATGTTAATAGACATCAGTAGTCAATAGTCAAAGAAAAATATGTCAAACTGGTGCATCTAACAACTGGAAAGAGAAGGATGCATAATTGATTAATTAATTATGATTTCACCATGAATGCCACTTTGCTATACATGCAACTGTATGTACTCACACACATTTGCATAACAGCACAATATGTCGTTGGTGTAGTGTCATGAGTATGTTCTTAATATCCTCCTTAATCTACTGCTGATTCATGAAACCCTTTTCCCTTCAAGTGACCACTTCCTAAAAAAATAAGGCATCTTTAGGTTAGGTGAACAAGTTGGATGTGGATGCTTAGATGAAATGGATCGAGGTTGATGTGGAAGCATCTGCTATAAAAATGGCATATTTGAATCAGCCTCATCTGGATTATATTTTGCAGCAGCTCAGGGAGAATATTAAGTGTGTCATTCATAGCTTTCCATCAGTGACACTTTGTAATGTTGTCTCTAACATGCACAAGCACATAGAATTGTACATGCAGTGGAATAGCACTAATTGCTGAACAGATGTTTATGCTTCCTGAGCAGCTCATGTTTTAACATGGTTAGGGAGTGTGGCTTATCCTCTTGCTTGAAGAATCATCCAGGGTTTCCATTTCATTGATGAGATAATAATGATATGCAAATGCTGACGTAACATGTAGATTCACCCATGGCATTATAAAAAGCTTTGAATGGTCTTACAAATGATGTGTCATATGAATATATTCAGCTGCTTGAATAGGAATTAAAATGTTAGAAATTGCAACTTTTGAGTAAAAACATTTTTCATCCAAAAAGACCAGACAAGTTATTCATTGTTGAAAATATATTCAGCTCACATTCCCAATAATAGTAGTAATCAGGATATCATAGCTTGTCTGTCACATTGAAAAATATTTGACCAAAGTTGGATGAAAAGTTGAAATTTCAAAACTTGGTAAATTTTTCTTCTTTAGGAGAGTAGGCAAAAAAAAGTCAAACAAGTCATTTGATTTATCCATGCACATCAAAGAGGTGTGCAACTTACTGTTATGAGAGACACTTGTCTATTCCCCCATAACCTGGGGATATGGGAGTCAAAATTACATAAATTTCAAAATGTCAAAGACAACTCTAATGCTTGAATAACATTCAAAACTGTGATGATGTATGGCATGATATTCACCTGTCACAAAGCTTTAGTTCAGGCCTCTTTGCAATAAATGTTTCCTGAGGTAGTAATTTTGCCCTTCGAGGGGGTTTTCCATTTTCTTCTTCTCCATCCTTCTTCCTTCTTTCTATATTCAGGTGGTCTCTTGCTTATCACATATTCAATGAGACAGATTTTTTTATTATTGGGTTTTTGGATTGTAACTGCTAAGGATTTTAAGTGTGAAATTCAAGATGGTCAGGTGCACTACCTGACTGAATTCTTATGGAATCACCCAATGGTTGAATCAACATGAATTGTTCAATTGTTCACTTTTTCAGGGTGATGCATTTCTCAATAAAAAGCTAGATACCTCAGATGCACACATTCCTCCTCACTCAACACCTGCCTCTAAAGGTGAGCATTATCGTGGCTATGTATTCATAATACACAGAGTATGATCCAAGAATATATCCTTTCTTCCTATCCTTTCTTTTAAGCCTCTGGAAATACATGGAAGGAGAGTAGGCCTTACTGTCAACAAAAAATAAAGAAAAAGTTGGCTCCATTTTCTATTTTCCATAAAGGACCTTGTTCATGTGTATCAATCTCAAAGAACATTTTAAAATTTATAAATTTTAGTCCATTATGTTTATCCTACTCTACTGCTAATTATCAAATACAACACTAACAAAAAGGAGAGGTTGAACCAAGAGAAGAAATGATCTAGTCTGATATAATCACAGTTGTAGTTCTACCCGAGTTTAACCTAGCAGTAGTATAGCTTGAATTTGAATTCAAATTCCAATTTCTATTCAATTGCTTTAGCATGACTATTTAAATGTTGCATTACTCCATCAAGTCATGTGGATCTAGTTTTTCCCATTCTTACCAGAGGGAGACAATGAGGAATAAGATTGAAACTGTTTTATCATTGTTAACTGATTAATTGCCATTTGCTAATTGGCTGAATGGGCTGTCAGTGAGAACCATGGGCTGGACTAGCATTTGAATGCCAATGCCATGCCTCTCCTGAGGGATTGTACTATCAGACCATCTCCATCTGGCAAGTGTCATTGTTCAAAACCCTGCTCTTATCTCTTATCACCTTATTGTAATCATTGTGCATATGAAGGATACATGTTGCACATAAGCCTGCTTGCTTTTTCCCTTCCTCATTTTCTGACTTTCTCCTTTCCTTTGTCTTTCCTTGAGAGCTTGTGCTTGAATGAGTTGACCCAGTAACCAATGCTCATACCAAGCAAGTTGAATCATGTGAACAGCTCAAAGGTAAGATGAAATGGATGAGGGCCACACCTTCATGCATACATCCTTCACCTTCAAGGTTGGATATGTGCTTTGGTCAGTGGGCTTCTTTCATCCTAGGTTGACAGTTTCCTTCTATATCATTCCCAGCCCTTGCTTTGATCTTCTTGGAGACTGTTTCTGCTGTAGTTATAATTTGATGAAATAAATAAATATTTGTGATCATTGAAAGAGGGTTGTTCCATTTTGCGACAAGATAAGGTACTGAAGAGCCTGAGCCAACTGATAATTGCAGTCAAATGCAAATGACAGATTTAAGATGAGAATCTACTCACAAATAGGAGACCTTGGGGTAAAATTCATTCAGTCAAATCACAATAGTGTTTAAGTGCAAATTCATGGTTCAAAGTGACTTTCCACTCAGCCAAGTGCTATTAAGACATTTTTGTAGAAGAGATACTTCAATTCTGGTGTCATCTTCATACCCTGTCATGACATAGCCTCATTGAATCCCTAATGTTGGGCCTATGTGCTGATGTATACAATTGTAATTCAGAACAGCCTCTTATTGTGGATAAGACAGAAGACTTTATAGATCATGTCTTCATCTGCCCTATGTCTGATTGAGTGTTGGAGGTTTCTCAACTTTGAATATGTAGTGTTTCTAACATGCAAAGAAAAAGCACTATCCTGATGATAACAAGTGGATTTACTTCTTTTCTTTTCCCTTTCATTGCTTGAAAATTTTCCCTACAAAGTAGAAAAGCACTCTTCATCTTGATTCAGGTTTGAGTACTTTAGTACTCATTGGATTCTTGGCAAGGTGGTGAAAGAAAGACTATTAAATCCTTCCCATCTGCTGCTTCCTATGTGGTCGCTTTTCATATTGGAATTGTGTAATATTGCAATTAGGATTCCTGACTCCAAACAACTTTTGTTAATCCCAGTTATTCACTACTGTCTCTTTTTCTCTTTGCCAATTGCCTCAAGGGAGGGAGACAGAAGACAGTAGAATCATGTAGCTTCAGTTTATTCACTCAAACCTGCAGTTGTTGGATCTAACCAGCTACTCACTTAGATGTCTGGAAGGTGAGAATTGAAGGTGGTGTCACTCAAATTCTTATGATGGGGAAGCAGAGGCTGCCTTGACAGGAGAGAAAGAGCTTGTAAATTGAATTTCTCTTTTTTTGGTGCATGAATTTTCATGAATTTTGCAATTCATGAAAATTCAGATAACCAAAATAGTTGGTCCCATGTGCTCCATAATATGGGTATAAATTAACCAATCTGGAACCAACATGCACAAAAAAGCAAAGGGAACATTGTTTCCTTTGCTTCCCCTCCCCCCCTCTCTGGGTTTAGTGAACTTAATGCTGAGGTTTACTTTGCTTTACATTAATACTCATGAAAAGCTCTGGCATTTTCTTAGTTTATGCTTTTAACCTCTGGAAGGTCAGATTTCAAAAGGCGTCTAACCCAGGAAAGGGTTAAGATTTGGGCTGTAAAGATGTATCGGCTAACACCGGCATCGGCCGCCGGTGTTGGACTATCGGCACCATCGATCTATGGAAACTGTGCCGGTGCCCAAAGGACGGGCAAAGCGAAAAAAAAATTACGTGAGGGTGTTCACGCGCCTCGGCGCTGGCCCTCCTGTCTCACTGAAAGCCACTCCTGCCAGCCTCTCCCAAGCAAAAATATCGATCGGATTATGTTACAGCCATATTATAGGAACCGGCAGAGGAAGGTAGCGGTAGAGAACTGGAAATCATTGCATCTCTATCTACGTCATGCTTTTGCAAGGGATGTGTAATTGAATGCTCAACTGCAGCAATGGGTGGCAAGCTAACCACGGACAGAAGCATCGAGAGACAGACAGGCTGGACAGAACCAAAAGTGATATCTATTGTTTCAAAGAGGCCTACTGATGAGTATCACATGGCTTCCAATTAGGCCTATTTAAATTTATAAGCAATTTCTTATACTAGCCAGAATTGGCACCGGCACCGGCCGATGGTTATGAGGAAAAAATCGGCCGTCAGTCCACCGGTGTTGCCACCGGTACAACCCTAGTTAAGATACAGTTAGGGGGATGGGCAGTGGCAGTTCTCTCATTCAACTTCTCATGCAAGCTTTCTTCGTCCAATATCTGCAGGTTGACCCAAAAAAGGAGGTCCCTATCTTTAGATATACTCATAATACGTAGCAGCAACCATGAAGCAAAAAAATTGCTCAGAATGAAATTTAGCTTATCCATATTGCTTCAAACACAGAAATATGACAATGCCCTCTATTTTAGCCGACGGTCACCTGTAATAGAACACACTCCTGTCAAACTGCGTGGTACAATGGGCATGGCTTGCCAAGAATGTGCAATTACTTTTTTTTCTTCAAATCTTTAATGCCCTAGATTTTGTTTCGGTAGACTTTCTTGCAGTGGCCCAGTGGGATAAATATGGTAAAATATCGCTAGTAGGCTGTTTGGGACAGAATATGCATGTTGCATTTGAGCTCATTCCCTGGTCTGGCTCTTGTGACAAATTTTCATGGAAGATTTCCTTGGCAAAATGCCATTTCAATGTTTTTCTTTTTTAAATTCAACAGTCAAAATATTTATTTTAAAAATGTAAATGCAAAAGCTCGTTGGGAATCACCGAGATCTGAGCATCTTGTGTGCCTGCCCATTCCATGGCGAGTTCTAATAACATATTTTGTCGGGATAATTCAGTTTTAGTCATTAAAGGTGTCACGTAATATATGCAAATCGAATGTGCAAAGTTACCCACTCGCTTTACAGAGTAAAACAAATGGGTCACTTTGACCCACCCATAAACAACAGTTGCATGTGCGTTGCTCAGTGTCTGTGTCTCTGACCGATCAGAAAGCCAGTGCGTTAAAATACCAGATGTTTATTGCCGTTACTTTCACTTATTTATATTTAAAAGTGGGTAATTTTTTTCATTAGTTAAAATTTGAAGCTGCTTGTTCCACATTAATGGGGTCGCGGCTTGAGCAAGCTCAGGAGCATCCTCCAGTGCTCCCGATCCTGGGCAACGGACTCGAGCTCAGCTGGTGGAATACCAAACCTCGAGTGGCAAAGATTCGTGTTATACAAGGGTCTCTGTGATATACGATGCGCTAGTTTCCTGTCGCAGCTTTTGTGTCCTTCAAATTAGAAGATGGCCACCCGTGAAGGTTTCTGATGGATTTATGACCTCCAAGTAGTACTGGATTTCAAACAATCTCATGAGCACTTGGGGAAGGTATGGCGTGACAAAAGCTCCCTGCATTTCCACAGTTTCTAAGTGGTTCCGTGAATTCAAAAGGGGCTGAGCCTCCATTGACGATGAATTCCGACCAGGTCGACTTTCAACTGCAGTCATGCCAGAAAAAATGGAGTTGGTCCAACAAATGATCGCTGAAGACTTCTCGACTTACCCTCGTACTTATGCGCGGATAGAATATCATTTGAAATTGGTTCCTCTGCTAATACCGAAAATTTTCATTGGCACTTGGGGCTTTGCAAGGTTGTTTCGCGTTGGGTACCCCGCAGCGTGTCAGACTTTCAATAAGAAATCCAGGTGAAGTGGGCGTCATGAAACACAAAAAATTTAATCAGGGACGTTAAAAACTTGTGTTTGATCTTGTGATTGGAGATGAAACTTCCATTTATGAATTGGATCCAGATACGAAACGCCCGAGCACAATTTGTATCTTTTCGAGTGAGCAACCACTCACCCAAGTCCTTCGGCGTCACAGTGTCGGGAAGCAAATATTGGCCCCTTTTTTCTTCTCCCGTACTGGTCATATTGCTACCATTCCCTTCAAGAGTGTGCCACCGTAACTGCTGAAAGGTTCACAACTATCTGCTTGTCTGCTGTCTCCAGAGCTATACATAATCTGAATCTGAATCTGGCTTCGGGGCTTGCACCACGACAATGCTCCGGCGCACACGGCAACGAAAGCTAAGGACTTCCTGGACAGTCAAATGTCCAAAAGTTTTCACATCTTCTTATTCACCCTTATTCCTCCTTATTCGATTTAGCTCATTGTGACTTGTTTCCACAGTGCTAAGAAAAACTCAGTGGTCACCGATTTGAGACCTCTGAAGGTGCTGTGGTTGACTTGGAAGATAATTGGTGAAACTGCTTTGAGTCTTGGCTTCGACGAATGCAAATGTGCATAGATTTTAGGGGTGCTTATTTTGAGAAGCAATGAGTATTTCGAGCTTGAAACCTTCTATAGTAAGGGAGCTGCTACGAACTTTCAGTGACCCTCGTAGTCCGTCCACCTTGCGCGGGTCCCAAGTCCTACCGTTTTGTCCTCTGCCGGTCATTTTGGATTCGAAGACCCTTTTTGGGAGTCTCTCGGGGAGCATGCGGACGACGTATCGAAACCAACGGGCTTGAATTATCTCGATCCGAAGTCGTTGCTGCTCGACCTGGAGGTTCTCACGGATGGCAGCACTCAGCAACCTCTCACGACGCGTAACACTGGCTACCCGTTGCAAGAACCTCATTTCGGTAGCTTTTATCCGCTACCGCATTCTCTCTCTCAAAAACCGAAAGTTTCGCCTCCTTGGAGACGTCAGATTCAGCAAACACAGTACGCCAGAGTTTGTGCTAGACTGAGGTAACCCTGGAGATCCCGCTGTCTATCTCGCTTCCGTTATTTCTAATCACTCGAGAATCAAACCCCTATGTACTTGAACGTCACCTGTTCCAGTCGCACCTTAGTAAGTACGTAAAGTGCACGGTGCAGGACTTCTCGAAAGGGCCATAACCTACGTTTTGGAGGAGCTCAATTTCATTCCTATCGCAGTACATTCTGAATCGATCATATAGATGATCGACGCTCTGAAGCTTCTGTCGAGACTGGGCCAAATGACAGCATCTTGGCAAAAAGAAGAAGCTTTATTTTGATACCACAGATGTTGACCCCCCCGAGTCCCAGGCTGCACCTGCAGATCCTATCTATGTACACGAACAGGAAAGAGAGGACGCAACCCTGACGGAGCCCAACACGTACCGGGAAAGAACTCACAGCTCATCCTGTTCATTCCAACACGGCTCTCGCGATCATTATTTAAGGATTGAATGGCCGCAGTGACTGTTAATCCCATATACCTGCAGCACTCCCCACGACTTCTTTCGAAGCATACGGTCGAATACCTTTTCGAGATTCACAAAGCACTCATTGACACTCCTAATGCTTCTCGGGAATCTGATGTAGAATGAAGAGTTGGTCCGTGATGCTGCGCTCTTCGGGAAGGCTGCGCTGTTCCTCTTGGATGATTTCTCCAGCGGCTTCTCAGGCTTTTTTTTTCCTGCAATATGGCAGAGACCTTTCCATTTGCGATTGCGATTGTGATTTGATATACAGGATGTTCACAAATTCCTCTTTACATCTTGCAAGTCGTATTGTTTCGGAACTAATAACGAAAACTGAAACCAAAACCAAAATATGCAGAAACACTTCAAGTTTTATCTTAGAGGTTCTCGATGTGACTTCTGCACGTGATGCGGTACACATCCCAGCAATATTCTATTTTTATGCCGAATTCCCACCTGCGTATGTTTCCACATTGGACAGTCCCACTATTATCTGATTTTTTAGTTCTGCGATCCTGATTGGCTAGGAAGGTTGGTACACATAGTCTCAATGTGTACAAGCCCCCTCACAAACTGGAGTACAGAGGGGAGATCTGACGATCGTGGAGACCAAGCGAATGGATTTCCACGACTGATCTAATGTCTTGGGAATTTTTGATCAGAGAAACATTTCACTGCGCGATAAAAATGTGCAAGAGTGCCATCTTGCTGAAAGACGATTTTATCTCCCATGTCTTTATCCATTTGTGATACCAAGAAGTTCTCGAGCATGTTCAGGTTCACCTGAGTAGCAGCTCGTGCTTCTTCAAGCCACAAAATGCATCGTGCTTTCTGAGCTCCCGTGAAATCCGTCATTGTTGATTTGACTCATGCGCCGCCAGCGGAATGAATGTGTCCTTGTTATTCAGGCGGCACAATACTTCCTAATAAGTGTTCCTGCATATTTTGGTTTTGGTTTCCCTTTTTTTTATTATCGTCATTAATTTTGAGGCAATAAGACTTGCAATTTATGAAGAGAATTTGGGAACCACCTTGTATCATATGCAGAGGCGGATACAGAAATTTTCGTCTGGGGTAAGAACTTGAGTATCTATTTCAATGGCTCCAATACAATTTAATGCAGATTGCTTTTGAATAAATAAACAAATGCTAACCTGGCCATAGGGGGGGGGGGGGGGGGCTGTTGCCCCCCCCCCCCCCCCCCCCCCCCCCTCCCCCCCCCCCCCCNCCCCCCCCCCCTGTATCTGCCACTGATCGTATGTAAGCACGAGCACCCATCAGCGTCCATTGCATTCGGTGCCACTACCCGGATTTCATCAACACCGGGAGACTTTCCATTCTTAACACTAACGATAGCTTACTGTACTTCTTCCATGGTAAGGCTCCTAGGATGGGCTCCTAGTAGGAAACAGCCGAGTATGTGGGTTTATGAGCTCTTCAAAATGTTCCTTCCCCCTTCGAAGTAATTCCGCTTCGGCAACCAGGACCTTCCCGTTTTGTTCTTTAATGACCCAGAGAGTATGTTGCTTGCCTTGTCAGAGCCTTCGAATAATTTGTCAGAACACATCGTAAGCAGTGTCGTCCTCATGCTCCCTTTCTTCTCAGAATTTCTTTCATGTCTCTCCCTTCGGCTATAGCTAGAGCAGCAGTTCTACGCATTTCTCTGTAACACGTCCTTGAAGTGTCCGACATACAGCACGTATGAACCATTCATGCTGCCTTCTTGGCAGCAACAGCCAGCCGTACCTCTGGTGTCCACCTGTCAACTTCGTGTTACGGTGTGCTGCTCCGATTAGCTTTGCGCCACATACTTTCACCGCTGCAGCCGAAACGCCAGATCGAAATACATACCATTCGGTCTCTATATCAGAAATCTCGTGAGGCTGTTAGGAATAATTTTTTTACAGATGTTTATACCGGATTGGGGATGAAACGGCTGCACAATCCATTAAAGATGCACAAAGCATTTTTCCGGTTTTAAGCCATTTGTTTGGTCAAACTGCATACTTGCATTGCTGCATGAAGTCTTGGATTTCCCCCCCCCCCCCGTCTTTTTGGCCCAATTTAAAATAAAGATGTAATGCTTTTGCCAGCATAGCATGTTATTGAGTCAAATTTACCTGAAGGTGAGGAATTTTAACCTGAGTACTAATTGAAATTCGTCAGGCAATGATGCATCATTCAAAGTTTAAACTTTGCCCAATAGGTCTTCTTTCCCCACTTGTCCTGAGCATTCACTTGGCTTGTTAAACCTGATCTAGCAAAATTTCAAATAGGGATATGTGAAATAATCAAGAAACTGTGCTTTCATAGTTACCTGATTCTATGGTAACCATCAGTGAATTATTCTCCCAAATACTTGTTATATGGTCAGCCATATTAGATGCATCCTCCAGCAAGGTGATGCACATGTGATGTCAAAGATGGATCACACATCTTTGGCAACTGCTGAGTTCCTGCTGAGTAAAGGGCAGGTATTTGTTGGACCTACTTTTATGCCACTCGACAGCCTCAATGCAGACTTCACTTATTCCATTTTTTATTTGTTGAAATAAAAAATCTACCCTTTGAAAATCCAGAGCATTGAAGATTTGAAAGTAACAAGAGCAGATTCTTGGCAAGCCATGTCCTACTTATTGCAGCATGCAATCAGGCTGTGATGTGCTCTGTTTTGTTACAGGTCTTTCTGTGAGGGGTTTTGCTGTATTTTGTGCCATAGCTGTACACTCCTGTCTACCCATAGCTGTACCCATAGCCATAGCTGTACACTCCTGTCCCTTGGTAACTAAGTAGTCCAGACTCCTGGTCAAAGAGAAGCTCATATATCCTAAGTCCAATGGTCACACTCGATTAAAAGCATCCCTCGATCCTATTAAAATGGAAGTGTTGCATATACAGTATGTCTCTTTGCATAGGGTTTTGTGTCATGTAAATGTTGTATGAAGTGATGAAATTCTAGCCAGGTAATAATGTAAATATGATGCTGAAATAGGTTGTTGATTTCTTTCCATATTCAGAATCTTCTAGTCTTTCAAGTGATCTTTACTATACTCCACCAACTGGGAGAATTTCTCGGGCATCCTCTGTCAGTTCTATGACCAGTGATGCTTCACACATCTTTGCTTCCCATCACTTCCCAGTGAGTGTCATTGTTTTTGAGGTGGTTTTCTACTGACTCTTGAGGGTAATGAATAATTACTTTTTTTTTCATTCTAATCTAGTCTGACTGGGAGACTGAAGGAGATGAAAATGAAGCTTCCTTTCGGCTAGAGAAGGTGTCCAAAGATCAGATTTATCAAGCTTATCAGAGCCTGCGCCTCAGGTACCACAAATACAAGGGTCGTTATATGGACTTAAGGAAATCCATGGGGCTTGCTGAAAAAGAAATGGAACGGCTCAAGGTTAGCATTCAAGGCCATACATTAAGTGACCTCTTATTTTCTTATCAACAAATAGCCAGAAACAAGAATGTAAGTCTTGATAGCATAGTGTGAGTTGATGCATTTGAACAATATTTATTGTTACATCAATTCTTAACCCTTTCCCTGGCATCCACTTGAATTCCAATGGAGATCCCTGAAACATTCAGATATCCCTGCCAGGGAAAGGGTTAATATAATCACTTCCTTTTATTGGTTTTTACCTGATGATTCTACTCATTAATGTCAAAATCCCCATCGATGAATAATTTCATGTCAAGCTGAAAAAAAGATTTCATGTAAAATTCTTGGGGTTTCCAATATTTCAGTACGGAGAAGAACCTTTGAGGAGAAAAATGAAGGAGCTAGAGGAGCAATGCTGCCTTGAACAAGCAGCAAAAGCTCACATGGAGGAGAGCTTGAGGGCAGACCTGGAGGAAAAGGATCATGTCATCTCTGTCCTCAATACTAAGGTAGTCATGAATATGCTAAAGAAAAGATATTGCTGCCATCTTGATGCAACATTTTTTATGGAGTCAATAGATGATGCTCAGCAAGGATGAAGACCCTAGAAAGTGCAATTGTTACAATCTTGGTTATTTCAGATAGAACTTCTTAAGAAAGGAGGTAAGGAGGCAAATGATGAACTGGAGGTTGGAAAGGATATGGCTGATTCTGGCTCTATGACCAGTGAACTTACAGCACTCAAAGGTGAGATGAAATGTTGAGGGAGATTAAGTAATCCCACAATTCCATAAGCTGTTATTTTTCTAGAGGGTGGTCCACAGAACACTACCCATTTTGTTCCACCTATGAATTTTGATAGAAATATGATGGATAAAAAAAAAAGATAGGTAGATTCAAAAGTTTTATTTTGCTGCAGGGGTTCACTTTACAGGATGAATTGAATTTGCTATCATTAGAATTCAACACATTTATTTAGATATGGCAAAGGAATGAATGGCTGATGAGTTTTGACTGAAATGTTGCATATGACTTTTGTCATTTCATCCTGTAGCTCATGTCAACATTCATTCCATAACATGAAAAAGTTACTGTATCACATGGACTCAATGCAGTTTGCCTTTATGGAGCTTACTTTTTAAAACTCCCAGACATTGAAGTAGGAACAGTTGATTCTGTCAAAAAGGTCATTTGGGGTAAGTGTTATCAGTACCCCTTTTTAATACTTATAAGTACAATGTGCCATCAACCAAGTATTCTGTCATGTCAGCTCTGCCTTGCATGACATATTAAATTCCACTGCTCAACTAAGAGATTGAAGGGCACTTGAGGGCCCTCTTTCATCTCTAGTTATTTATTTGGTGCACATATTCAGCTTTCCCTGAACATTCAGTATTGTCGACTACTATGCAATTTTTGGTAGCTTGGCAAAGCAAGTTCCTTTTAACCTCCCTGGCATTCTTTTTCTTACTTTATATTCACTCCAGTGCTCTTTCTTTATCTTGCCAAAGTTTCTCTTGCCAAATGTCTCTTTCATGACACATATACAGGTCAAATCTCATTACAACAAAAATCTCACTATAACGAAAATATTTCTAAATCCTGGCTGATGGCCCTCAGTAATAGTACTTTGCAGATCTCGTTACAATGAATAATTCAGTACAATGAATGCTTTTTTCCAGTCCTTTATAGTCATAATAGTCGCTTGTCATAATAAAAAAATATCTAACACTTGATTGTTTACAAAGAGACAATCGTCTGTGGTTTGCAACAGCCCCCTCCTTCCTTTTGGACCATGAGAGAGTCAGAATTCTCTGTTTTCTATGCTTGTGTTAGTGTTAGTAAAAAGTGTTAGTGCGAGGAGGAACATACTGGGGCAGATACAGAAATTTTTTATAGGGGGGCAGTTCCCAAGTTCCTACCTACCCCCCACCACCATTCCTTGTCCTTTCGCCTTTTTTATTTTTCGTCTGGGGTAAGAACTTGAGTATCTATTTCACTGGCTCCAATAAAATTGAATGCAGATGCTATTTTGAATAAATAAATCAAATGCTAGCCTGGCCATAGGAGGCGGTCACCCCCCCCCCCCCCCCTGTATCTGCCACTGGAACGTACAGTAGTCAGCGCTGGCTAGTCGTGGCTGAAACCTCATCACTTACAACACACTGTACCTGTGCACCCCATCCTGCAGACATGACTGACAGGGGAAACAAGAAATACTAACAGTTTAGTCGGAAGAAAAAAATGAAAGTGGTGGAAGCAGTAGATTCTGACAGGAAAAAGGAGACGCGGTAAAAGAATTTGGCATCATTCCCTCTATGTTATCCACATTCTTGAAGGATCATGCCAAAATTGAAGAAAAGGTGAGGAAAGCGGCTCTGGGGCCAAAATGAAAGAGAATGTGTGTTGCACTCTATGATGACATTGACAAGACAACAAAACTCTTGTGCAATCCAAAATTACAGATTTTCTCCAAATCAAATAAAGTGGAAAATTACTGCATCTGTGGTCTGTACATTGGAAGGCATAGCTAATTTGAATAAAGAATGTTTCTTTTGGACTTATTTCAAGCAATATTCAATGCAACAAAATTTCAGTACAACAAAATAATCTGGATACCCCCTTGAAGTTCGTTGTTACGAGATTTGACCTTTATATATACAGGGTTGATGTAAAGTCCAGGAGGGGTTTTAATAATCAATAACTCTTTAATTATTCCAGATAGCAGAAAATGATCAATACCATTCGAATCTATAACTTTCAAAGTTTTTTTCTTGGGTTACATCAGAGCATCACACTTCAACATTTCCTCCATCCTGGGCAATGCAGCATTTAAATCTATTCTACAAGGATTGGAAAACATTTTCAATTTCTTGTCCTATGATATGATGCATCACAGTTTCAATATGTGCTTCCAGTCATGCCAAATGTTGAGGATATGTGACATAAACTATGCTTTTGACATGACCCCTCAAAAAAAAGAAGTCTAAGGTGGTTAAGTCAGGCCATGCAAGTGCACCTCCTCTCCAAATCCATTTTCCCTGGGAATGTTTCATTCATTCAGGTAGATCAAAATGGCTACTACTGAAGAAAAAGTATAATTTTTGCTGTGCAATATTTTCAGAACATTAGGGAGTTTTGAATGAAACATTGGCAGGGAAAATGGATTCAGAGAGGAGGTGGATTTGCATGGCCCCGATCTCCCGACTTTACCACCTTAGACCCCTCATGTTGAAAGCATTGATTATGTCACACATCCTCAATATTTGGCATAACTGAAAGCTTGTATCAAACTGTGGTGCATCAAATCATAGGGCAAGAATTTGAAATGTTTTCCAATCCTTGCAGAAAAGATTCTAACGCTGCATTACCGAGGATGGAGGATATGTTGAAGTGACATTCTGTGACCCATGAAAAAAAAAACTTTGAAAGTCATAGATTCTAATGGTATTAATCATTTTGTGCCATCTGGAATAGTTAAAAAGTTATTGATTATTAAAACCCCTCCTGGACTCTATAACAACCCTGTATATACATTATATATATTTATCCATAGTGGAAAATGTTTTTATTTACTTATCTGGATATATATTGAACATGTTATGTACAGGACCCTCCACTCTGAGACTGTCTTGGGGTAAACACTTAGGAGGTTAAATGAGTTGTTTTAGGAGTTCCATTATTATGGAGCATTGGGTAGGAGGCCAATCACTTTTACTCCATAAAATCAGGCATGAGGTCAAGTGATATGTCAAAGGAGTTCTATAAGAGATCAAGGAATTTTATTCATGAATAAATCCAAGGCCTCATGACAAGTTAATCATAAGTTATGCAACATGTTGTACTGTTGATGGACTTACAGTTTTGGCCTTTTCTGTTGGTCATGTATGATCCAATGTAACTGCCAAGTATTTAAAAAATAATATTCATCAACCTACTACTGAGGTTTCCTCCTGTGCTTCAACACATGCCTCCATCTACTGCAATGCACTCAGCCCTTATCCTGCAATTACTTTCATGAGGATTTGAAAAGGACAATTCTTCTACAAAAAGCCACAATAATTGTGATGGGTTGTATGGTGCTGTGAATAACCTGTGTTTCCTGGTGCATGTCAGTATATATTGGTATATATCAGAAAATTTCATTTGTCATTAAAGAAAACTAATCCAGTACCAAGATGGTCATATTCAACCATTCATGACCCACAGAAATGGCCAAAAGTGAAACTTTGTTAACAAAGCAACATGTTGAGCACCATGATTATTCTGTGATGCTGGGTTTTCTTTTAATTTATGAAATAAATGCCATTACATCTTATGGGACTCCCTATCTATGAGGGTCAAATTTCCTTATTGGTGTTAGTAACATGGGTATATTACGAGGGCCACTTGAAAAGTTATCTACCTGAGTACAAAAGAGGAGAGGTAAAACTATTTCTTAGCAGTGTTAGATACATTGGCCTATAAGTATTACTTGGAGGGAGTAATAGGTCAGTGGTGTTTCTACTATGTAGTTGAGATTGAGAGCACATTGAAAATTGTTGAAATGGACAAGATGAAGCTGGAGTATCGAGCTGTTATGAAGTTCCTTACAAAAGAAGGGATTTCACCACAAGAAGTATTTGAGCGTTTGAGTAACATGTATGGCGAAAGTTCTTCTTCCTTTTACTGAGTAAAATTTTGGTGCAAACAGTTCAAGTGGGGGAGGGAGTCTTTAGAGGATGACCCTCGATCAGGTCGCCCAGCATTCTTGGAACCCATCTTGAACTGACCTTTTTTGTGGAGAATATGCAACACTCTTTCTTCTGAGATTCCACACTCTCTTGACTGGCGACACCTTCACACATTGGTTCTCCATCACTAAACACTCGACTTTCTCGCACATTTAGTCATTTAAGGCATCTGCTGGGCGACCTGATCGAGGGTCATCCTCTAAAGATTCCCTCCCCCACTAGAACTGCTTGCACCAAAATTTTACTTGGTAACAGGAAGGAGAACCTTCACCATACATGTTTCTCAAACGCTCAAATACTTCTTGTGGTGAAATCCCTTCTTTTGTAAGGAACTTCATAACAGCTCGATACTCCAGCTTTGTCTTGTCCATTTCAACAATTTCCAATGTACATAGCAAAAACACCACTGACCTATTACTCCCTCCAAGTAATACTTATAGGCCAATGTATCTAACACTGCTAAGAAATAGTTTTTACCTCTCCCCTTTCGTACTCAGGTAGATAACTTTTCAAGTGGCCCTCATATTTTATTTGTCCAAGGTGAGCTCAGATGACAGGCACATTTCTCATGACAGCTGGATGCTCAAGACTTTTCAATCTATTTAATTAATAGAAGGAAGTCATGACTGGTGTGGAAAAGGTGGTTTGGTCTATGTAGCCTAGCTGGTTTCTGGGACATAATAGTGGCATACATGTCATTCCAACTTCAAGAATAATACAAATTAAATCCATCTTCATTCCATAGGTATGGTTCCCTTCAGGTGGATAAAGTAAACTTTGGGATCAACCATGATTGCATGAAAGATAATTCAAAACTTGTCCTAAAGTTCAGCATGAATTTCATAATTTGGAGAAAATTTGAGAACAGAAAGTTTAATAGATTTTCTGGTTCGTTCATGATTTTTACTGAACATTTCTTATAAGGGAAGGACCAAATCATTTGGTATCTCATATGCACCAATCCTGTTTACAGTTGCTTGTGAAAAATATCTGTGCTGGGGATAGTGTATTCTCAAAAGTCAAGAATTTATTGATGTAAAGTGTATAGTGTATGGATTATTTCCTGCACAGACTGTTTGAAACCTTCCTACTTACTTGATAAAATATTGTAATGCCAAAGTAACTGGCCTCAACTCTGTTACTACCATTCTGGGTCCAATGGACCTTGCTAAAAAAATTTAGCTATTTGTGTAGACTGAGCCATAGCTTGAAAGTCCAATACTCTGTGTGTTTTCATAAAGACATATGCTTGTAATCAGGCAAAGTATTTTGAAGAGATTCTTTGGAATGAAGAGATGAAACAAAGAGTTAAACATATGGCCATCTGGGCTCTGGTAGTTGCAGGATTAAGTACAAAAATCTGATCAATGTGACCCAAATTGATCCAGTGATGCAATTACAATGTGACTAAATTAATTCAACTGCCTGCTGCAGGTTTTCTAATTTAATATTGAGATTCTGTCATTCCAGTCACTTCAACTTTCCAACCCTTTAAATAAGGATAAAGACTCATGAATCTTTCCAGTAAGAGCAATGGTTTCAGTAAAATGTAGAGGAGAGCTACATCAACAACCAGAAAAGCAAAAGGAATTGTTATTGCTTCTGTAACTTGTGGGAATCTCACCATTATGTTGCACACACTAGCCACATTAGGAGAACAGTAAAAAATAAGTGAGTTACTTCAGCAAACTTTGTGCTTTTTTTGGATCACTCTGGATCACATGCATCAGATTTTGGGGTTTCAGTAATTTTGGCTTGACAGTATTCTTTGGGTTGGTTGGTAGGCTAAACTAAATAGTCTGAGAAGGAAATAATTATTTCACCACAATCTTAGGATTCCTGACTTTTGGGATAGTTTGTATAACCTCAACTTTACTTTTATACTTTCAAGCTTTCACAGATGGGATTTTTTCAAATCTTGAAATATATAAATTAATCATACTTACATATAATATAGTGAGTTATAAAAAATTATGACATAAACATTATGAACTCATATGTTTTTTCATTGTATCCCCCAAATGAAAGTAATTTTTTTATTATCAGAAAGTGGTTTTCCTTATTACTCCCTTATGCATGTCTTCTACAGAAAAAAATTCCAAACTGGAAGAATTGCTCCAGAAATCAAAGGCTGTCCTCAAATCCAATCGAGAGAAACAGCTTCAGTTGAGTCATGAGAATAAGTCCCTTCTTCAGACCCTACAAGAAAAAGAAACCATTATCACCCATATGCAAGTGAGCAAGTCTTTCCTCCTCTTACATGCAGATGAATTGTCCATCAAACACTCTTCCATCCTTTTCTTCTTTAGCCACCAATAATTAAAATGCATTTAATTGAAAGATTGGCAATTATTGATGCTTTGAGGGCTGAACTCCAGCTCTGTTGGTCACATCTTCTGTTGTGTGCCTGTATCATATGCAGTCATGTTCCTCTGTATGGATTGCCATACTGGTTGCAACAGGCAGTCCATGCCATCATCTTCATCCACATGCTATTAAAATGCAACTTACTTGATTCTCTATTTAGACATTGTTGCAGACAACATTCAATATGTCAATCAGATAGAGAATCATATAGGTAGACCAGAATTTGATAATATTATTGTTTTTTTTTTCAGCATCTTAAAAGAAAAAACTAAAAGTCCAGCTCACTGTCATAACAGATGTAATAAGACAGATAGAATTTGGACTAGAACTTGAACTTTTCTTAATTCTTGGGGGAAAGGCAACTGATTTTGTCTAAGGGGTGAAATGCTGACTGAATGAAACCAAGCTTGATTTATTAAAACTTTTGTCAAAAGTGTATAAGTATTCCATGTGAAAATTTCATATAAGACCATATATGAAATGGCCATATATTTAGCCAGTCCAGCATATATGGGGCAAATATGACCATATAGTGCAATTTGTATATGAACATATAAGAAACATATATGGGGTTTGACACAAGTTATGTAAAATCATTTAAGAATGAAAATATATGACCCCATACATTTTCATATATTGGTTCATACAAATGCACCATATACTGTCCATATAAGCTATGTCATATCTATGTATGATGAGATTACCCCAAACATGCCTGTATCCAAAAAGGGTCCATAGTCCATCAAATACTGTGTAATCATTCATATGCAAGTCACCATACTTTACTTGCAATCAACTCATTTTTAATTGTTCATAGACTGTAGTCAATTACTTCAAGAACTCATGTTTCATGGTGTTCAACTTATGCACCCTTGTTAATGAAGGTAACAATTTCAATATTATAGACTTGAACCTTCACAAGTATTTTCATCAATAGTGTTATTTCATGACAAAACTTGACTTACTCGTGTAGGAGTGTCTTCTTCATTTTGGCTGACAACTCACAAGATAGATGGGAACAAAAACTGTATTTCTTTCCGAAATAATCCAATGAAGGAATTGTTGAGTGAAGGCATGACACAGCACATGCCCCCCACTTTACAATAACAAAAAACACATCAATGTGAAAGAAAAGATGCATGAAATGCATGATAACAGTGTCCCAGAGTTCTTGTGCCCCCCCCCACACTTTTTTCATCCACAATACACTTTTGCTACCCAGGGAGGGTAGGGCTCAGTTTGAAATCCCAACTGGAATTTTCTAGCTGGACAGAAGATATACATTCTGACCATTTCCAGCTGGTAAAGAGGTGAAAAATAGTATGTACAGGTTGCTTTACAGCTGGAAATTTACAGTTAGAATTTTATACAGAGGACCCTCCAGTTGGAATACAGCTGAATTTACAGTTGAAATTCAGCTGCTTCTGTAGATGGACCTCCAGTAAGTATAGCCAACAAAAATATTCTCATTCCATCAGTGTATTGCAATTAGGAACAATCTGGATCTGACTTTACTTTCCAGCTGCTACCCAATTGGAATGGGTGTGAATTTCCATCTGGAGTCCAGCTGGAAATTATCACTGTTTCCAACTAGGATTTTAAGCTGGGGGGGGGGGGGGGGGGGGAAACCAAACTTTTTGCAAATGTTCCCATCTATCTTGTGAGTTGTCAGCCAAAATGAAGAAGACACTCCTACACGAGTAAGTCAAGTTTTGTCATGAAATAACACTATTGATGAAAATACTTGTGAAGGTTATACATTGCTAATATTTCATGTAAATTATAATGGGTTCATTAAAAATTAGTTGCAGAGGCATATGAAGGTCAATTGCCCTCATGTGTAACAACCTCATGCAGTGGTGTATTTTACAGGGAGGGGGCAGGGGGTGTGGCTGCCCCCCCCTGGCATCCCTGGGACAGGGCTTGGTGTCCCCACTCTGATGCCCTGTCTCCCCTGACTCTTTAGCCAAAATACACCACTTACCTCAAGCTATGTTTTACTTACAACCATAAGACTTATCTATGGATATTCACCACATATCAGACATAATGCCATTTGCCCATCACACATAATATTGCAATGCAGGTAAAATATATTATACACCATACAATTGTTAATATACCTTTTTCAGATGATTCTTAGGCCTTCCTGCAATGACACTAACCCACACTCCCTAAAGGATTCATTATGCCTGGGATGATGGAAATAGGGAGAGCAAGCGGGCCAGCCGATGAGCTGAGGTAGAGCAGAAAAGCTCCGACTGTCGACTTACTAGCCCGTCTAAGAGCTTCCGTTTCCTCTTTAGTCTGGCACCTGTAAGCACAAGCCAGTTTCAATTCCATTCATGATACATTTGCGATAGCGCAACCGCAAGAGAGAGATGTAAAGAGGAACTCAATGCTCAATAATTCAAGATGGAATGGAAATTTCATTTTGTCAGCTCATCAAGTTAAGGATCGTCCCTTCTCGAGTGCTTTTGTACCACCAGACAATGGAGTCAGATCTTGCACGTGTTGCATTTGCTGAATTTTCGGATGAACTAAGAGCCATCATCAGACCAGACAATGCATTCATTTTCATGTTGGACAATGCTCAAGTGCACAAAAGGATCATTCCTCAATACCCAACCCACTCCATTCATTTTGTCCCCCCCTCCCTCCTTCCCTACAGTCCTTGGTTAAATCCCATTGACGTCACGTTCTCACCCTTCGAAGCAGAAGTGAAGAAATGGATTGGTGCGTTGCAGGCCCCAGTGGCTATCCCAGTTGGCAGCCTCAGCAGGGACGACTCTTATAAGATATCGATGCCAAATTAAAAACATATGTTAGAGTCCATTTGCTTCGTGAATACAGATGCTTCACGCAGGCATGCATACGAGCATTCTTTTCGATATGGCGTTGGCCAGAAATCCCATTCGTGAATGAAGGCATTTCAATTTTTGCTCTCCTACCGTCTGGATTTTTACTCATCCTCGGGATATGATTTGACCTTGTAGTCTCTCTTGGTTTCTCTGTCTAGACTGTAGGAAGGTGAAATGAGACTCAACGGCTTACACTCGCCTGTCCTCGTCCTGTTCTCCATTCCTTCATGAGCCCCTGCGTGTTCCTTCGGGCATGCGGGTTGCCTGAATGGCAGGTATGCCTGAGAATCACCTGAAAATGGTATATATGGCAAAACATATGATCATACGTGACCATATATTAGTAGAATCACACACCCTGTCATATGGAATTTTCACATGGGATCATATCTAGTTACATGCAGTTTGATATCTATCCTTCGAATACTCTGCATCTTGCATTTTTGGGTTGGCATGCTATTCTGTTCTGGGCTTAGTGTGACTGTCTTAATTTAAAAAATACTGCTGGAACTGAATATGGACAGTTGGAGTTGGGTTCAATGTGACTGATTTATTATGCAAAAGTACATCTATCTAGGAGGAACACGATGTGATCAAGAAAAACCTGGAGGGAGAGGTGAAGGCACTCAATGATGAATTAAATGCCATTAAAGACCAAGAGGACTCAGCCAACTTGGAGATGGCTCAGACCAAGCAGCAGCTTCACCTTGAACTTCAAGAGAGAGAAGTGCAAGTTCTCTCACTCAAGGAGAAATGTAAGGACTTATTTTCATGTATCTTGTCCCTTACATTCTTCATATACAGTTGTTTGGAATTTATGTATATTTTTTTGCCTCCAAAAGTGAAAGAAGCTCTCAGCAGCCTAGAGGAAGAGAAGAAATCCAAAGAGATTGCAGAAAAGGCTCTAGAAGAAGAAAGAGAAAACCTCATGCATGTGAGTCTGTCATGTTTGTTTTGCAGCTCCTTCCTAACTGAAGCCTGAAAAGCCACTGGAGAGACTCTGGACTGCTTATTTTCAGCCTACTACCCACACTTTATTAGATGCCTGTCTGTACTCTCCTCCCATTCAGTCCCTTTTCCAGCTGCCTGGTTTTTTAAATATTTTTTTGGGCCTTGAATAGGCAAAAGTTGGCAGAGGCTGAATGTACCTTAAAGAGGAGGCAGGTCATAAATAGCGGGAAGGGAGTAATGGCAGCGAGCCAGGACTCACATGTACTCTTCCACCTTACCCTCTCTCTCTCTTTCACCTCCTTGGCCTTGGCACATCACTTGCTTCTCATTTGCACTGTCTCTTGCCACTCTCTGTTCTTCCATTCGCAATATGTGTGCTTGTGCATGAATCTGCTAAAGACCCCCTCATATCCCTTTCCACTTTCCACCTTCCCTGTCCATCTCCCAAAAAACGCAAGGTCAGTCAGAATCTCATACATCTCACAATATGAATATTTATAATCTTCTATAGACTCTGATTACTTGAAGGAAGACCACCTGTAAGAAATTAACTTGAAATCATCTTGGCTCATAATTTATAACCTTAGCCTTTAGTCATATTCTGCAAGCTTGCTGTCAGGCAGCTTTCTGCAGCCAATGGTGCTTGTACCCTCTCAAATTTGACTCCAGGGATAGACCTTTTATAAATGGAATCTCACAAAAGAAGCTGATAATAATGATGAGGAAGAAACTGCCATGTTCAGAGAGGAGATTAATTGAAAAGTAAGGGTAAATGTGGAAAATGTACATTTGAAATTCTAGATTTGCTCCAGCAAGCTTTAATTTTTATTCATTGCATTGTTCTTTTCTCTGACACATCACTGGCTTGTGATTCATCTTTCTTGCCAACTGATACTAAAGTATGTAAAATAGATTTTCAGTGTCAGCTGATGTAAGAGGCAGTGTTTTGGTAGAATGAGCTTTCTTGTAGTGCACTGCAGATTTCCATGTTGCTTCTCAAAAGGTAGACACCCTAGATCAATGTTTCTCAACCTTTTGTGTCAGGGACCACATGACATTTTTTTAGGAACTTTCATGGACCACCATAATATTCAAAGCTTGGGAAAGGTAGAGTGCATACATATTACTACCTAAATATGAAAAAAAGTGCATAATTTTAATCAAATTGCTCCTGTACAACCTGTTAATGTGATACTTGAGGTTGCATGCAGCTGACCAGTTGTCTTATTCTTGGAGTCAAACATGTCAGTGACAGGTGCAGTGTAGACAGGATTTTGAGGCAATTCCTCCTTTTTTTGTCCAAAATCCAGACTCATGCAAATATGCTGATGGTAAAAGAAGTAAAATCTTGTTGGCATGATCACTCAGCACTCAATACTCTTTATTTGATCCAAAATCTTGGTAGCTCACACTTCTCTTTTTGGAGTTTCAGGATGATGTCTAAAGGTAGTTCTGTTAAAAGGTCCTCTTCTGTAATAGACAACTTATTTTCTTCGTGCACAGGAAATGCCTCCAGAACCCACAGGTAACCAACTCATTGGTCTTGGCTGCTTGGAAAGTACACTTTAGACTTATCTTGAATCACATTGATACGAGATGTCACAATTGTGAAAAATTATCCATGTCTATATCAAGTGGTTTTTCGTTTAATATTTCTGACAGTAGGGTAAAAGACCCAGTGATGGACCGGTCCCCAGTGATGGGCCACAGCACATAAAAATTCCAATACCTAAGCTTCCATAGCAAGCCTACCCATTTTGTGACATATGCTAGCAGCATTCAAGCACATAGACACTTTAGAGGTGTTCATGGAACAAATGCATAGTTTTTTTATTTAATGCATAAAAAAAGAGTTGATATGCAGAGTTTTGAAGATATAACAGTTGCAGCAATCTCTGTGAAAGAAGGCTTGCCTCATCATACCTTCATGTTATCTCTGTCCATACCATAGAATTGGGCACATGTATTTGCTGCCAAGATCTTAAAAAGGCTAGGAAGGAAGGTATGATAAAGCAAGCTTCCTCATGGCAAGTTTCAGGTAGGGTAAAAGACCCAGTGATGGACCGGTCCCCAGTGATGGGCCACAGCACATAAAAATTCCAATACCTAAGCTTCCATAGCAAGCCTACCCATTTTGTGACATATGCTAGCAGCATTCAAGCACATAGACACTTTAGAGGTGTTCATGGAACAAATGCATAGTTTTTGGAATTTTCCTGCTATGTGGCCCATCACTGAGTACCCGCCATTAACAGGCCCATCACTGGGTCTTTTACCCTATATGTCAAAACACCTTTTCTCCACACTTTGACTCCATAGTTTCAGGTTTCTTCAAAAGCCATCAGTCTTATTGCTTGTGTCAAAAGTTGTATTCAGTGGCCCTTGCAGGCTTGTATTTAGGTCATTCAAGGGCTGAAATATGTCTTTCTGTCTGTTCTGTCAAACAGTCATTCTGACTGTAGTACATTCAGAGCCAAACCAGTCCAACATGCTTTGAAGCTCCTATTGAGACTGGGCCAAAAGGAGAACATCATTGGCATTGTATCTTTACCTTGATACTGCCAATGTTGACCCCTTTGAGTCCCAGGCTATAACTACAAGTCCTATCCATTTGCACAAGGAAAGGGAAAGGAGAGAGGATGCAACCCAGATGGAGATCAACACATACCAAGAAGGAATCCTCTGCTCATTCTATTAACTCCAACACAGCTCCTGCAATCACTGTATTAGGATTGAAGAGTATACAATAGCTGACTGTTGATACCGTACCCAGGGCCGGCCCTAACTATTTCAGCACCCTGTGCAAAGAGACTCTCAATGCAAGCCCCCCCCTCCCCTACCCTACCCTCCCTCAGAAGGGAGTAGGATCAATCCTTAACGTCCAAAAAGTCACCGAAACGGAAGGCATTTCCACATTCTGAAGTAAAACTGAGGGTGGCATCCATAATAACTTTATTTATTCTGGCACGTTTTGATGCCCCTGGTGAATTTGCCCCCTGTGTGGAGGCACATGTGGCACATGCCTAAGTCTGGCCCTGACCATACCCATGAAGCACTCTGCACAACTTTCCACTAAGCACATAATCACATACCTTATGAGATCCACAAAGTACATGTAAATCATATTACAAAAGGTAGGTAGATAGCAAAAGGTAGAGACCAAAAACCAGCTACTTGGGTAAGTGGGTTATACGTTGCTATCCAACTTACTGCCAACTTTGGCCCAATGGTCACCCCTTTCACGTGGGGCCTATGCGAATAATCTATGTTGGGCCAACATATCCTGACGTTGGAGAACCATGCTAATGTGGGCCCCTTGAAGAATGTTATCTGGGATCATGGTATCACCTGGAACCATTTGGAATTACCATCATGGTACCTGCTGAAACCTGTCTAAAATTACTGATGGAACCAGCTGGAAACCTTAGCTGGAACCATTGAAATTGCCAGCTGGAATTTTTGACTGGGTGATGTAGAGTGAAGAGCTGGTCTGTGAGTCTGCACCCTTCACAAATCCACCCTTTTCCTCTTGGATAGCTTCTCTAATGACTGCTCAAGCTCTCTTTATCCAGCATTTTAGCATAGACCTTAATAGGTGTGCTTGGAAAGTAATTCCGTGTTGTGTCATCCCTGATTCCCTTGTAGTTTGTCTACTCTATGCAGCCAATTACCCATCAGTGACCATTGCTTTCAGTGCCTCCACCTAGATTTCATCCATGCCTGGAGACTTTCCATTCTCCAAGCTGCTAGTAGTTTTTCCATCTTCCTCCAAGGGCCAAGATATTTTCAATGCAGCTATGTTCCAAGGAGTCTGTTGATGACTCTTCAAAATTTTCCTTCCTCCTCCATTGTATTTCTGCTTTGGGTCCTTCAGATTGTTTGTCATAACACCATGTTGGCAGTGTGGTGGTCAGATTCCAATTATGCCAAAAATTTATTCTACTATTCTTGTTTCAATTTGGCTACAATTGAAGCACAGCTTTACAAGGCTCTTTGTAGCATTTCCTCAAAGAGTTCAACCTACTGGAAATATATAGGCTGCTTTCTTGGCTGTAATAGCATGATGAACCTCTTGTATCCACCAGGGAATTAGCTGTCTACTGTCTCTGTTTGATACAAGTTAGTTTATTGGTGGACCTGGTGCAACTGCAACTATTAAAATGTGAATGATAAACTGTTGATGAGGACTAAGAAAAGTTGCTTTCATTTCAGTATGTTGTAACTTTATTTGTCATTTTCTTTCATTTGTGTTGTTTTGTCTCCTCTTTACTTAAAGAAGGATTCGCATTGCCTTGTGGGCATCCTTCTTTATCAAATTCACAGAATTTTGAATTTGTGCAGGAACTGTCTCGAGGAAAGGCAGCTGCAGTGCAGTTGATCAAAGAGCAAGGAGTACAGGAGCTCAAAAGACTTGAGGAAACACACACTCAAGAGAGAGAAAAATGGAAGAAAGAACTCGACGCCAAGTGAGTTGCATGCCTTCTCATGAATTCATTTGTGATCTTTTCATTTTTGGCACCAAGATTGCCCTCTCCTTGAATCCAATCTGTTGGCTCTTTCATTTTTAGATGCAAATTTGTTGGGGTCAAAAATGAATGATGTGTTGGAAGTAATGGATATTCCAGACTTATTTGTCTTGAACCTGAAGAGTGAACTCAAATTTGTGTGTTTACTATTCAGTAAATTATCTATATCATTCTTCACTGCTTTTTTTGAGCTTGTGGCCATCATTATTTCCTCAATTTTTTCATAGATTATGAACTGCAAGGGCCTGAGGCAAATAAATGCATTCCAATATGGTCCTTTATTACTTCCAGAATAAAATGCCTTTATGACTATATCAAGTCCTTAGTAATGACTTTTGTTATCCTGCTGACAGAATTTCATTTGTCAAGCTTTGCTGGAAAACTGCACTAATTTGCTTTTGAACATTGTACCGCATTATCATGGCCCTTAAGGCCCACTGACACCCTTGTGCAAGATATGATTATCCATATCCAAGGATTGCATAGATCCATATAAAACATCGAAAAAACATGGATTAAGCTCTTTTCAAGCATTTCTTGTTAAAAATATTCTGAGAATCTCCAAAATTCATGTTTAATGTTGAGCATTTTGTTCAACATTCCAGGAACAAAGTTTCCTTTCTCTGCTGGAAAAACCTGAAATCAACAGGGTTCCCCATGTCTGAAAAAAGTAGGACTGGTAACTGTGGTAACTGTGTGGTTATCTGGTAACTGTGGGACTACATTAGTTCTGAGCGAAGAAAAATGCATGGAATTGATCTTGATGTATGGGGGCAGCAGCTTAAGGTAGGTAGCTGACAGATTTAACAGGAATCATCTTGAGAGCACCAAAATCACATGGTGCTATTGGAAAGTTAGTCACAAAGTTGAACCCATTCTCTGCTATGATCGAGATTACTTGAGTGCAGAAATGTGTATCTTCTTGAAGCATTTCTTCTTGTGTTTCTTACCTGAGATTTTTCAGGACAATCTGAATCAGTCCAATTATATACTTGCATAATAAGGTAAATGAGGGACATATTTTTTTTAAATAGGACCCTCAATGTTGCACCAGATGTAAAAAACTCAGTACACCCATACTGAAAAATCATATACAGGGTATCCCATAAGTCACTATACCATTTCAAAAAATCACATTTACTAAACAGTTGATGAAAAAAAGAAGTCATGTTAACTGAAAGATAGCATGTCATTTGGAATTATCTTCGTCAAAAATGGAGCCACTTCTGAGATTTGAAAGTGCCTCAAAATGCCCCCTCCCTATGTTAATACATTTGGCATGAGGCTCCGCACCAAAAAATTGCCAAAACTCTTTTTGAATTCTGATGGGACTCTCAAAGACCTCCATCCAGATTGCAACTTTTCTTCATTGCTCCAGCATCAATTGTGAAGCCTTTTCCCATGAGAGTAAAAGCAAATTAAATGAAATAATATATTTTTCCTGTTTCTCAAGTCTATCTGAAATTAGGAGAGAAAAACATTAAGTTTAGCAATTTAGTAGAGGATTCAACAAGGTGTACCAAAAATGTCCCTAAACAAGTACACCTTTCTAATATGCATTTAAAGTTATTTCCATTTGAGTCTAATTCTAAGTCATTGTCGTGAAAAAAATCTAAAAGATGTTCTTTCCATCAATGCCAACAACAGTGACCTGCATGTTGCAGTTTGTAAAATATTGCAGTTTGAAATGGTATAGTGGTGACTTATGGGACACCCTGTATGATTTTATAAGAAATGGGCATGTGTGATATATGGGACTTGTATGGTCTTATCATATAAGATATCATAATATATATAGGAAAATATATTTGATCATATCTTTTTATTGAGACAATGAGTATATGATCATATATGGCAAGGCCATGTAGGAATTTGGAGAGGATGGAGGGAACACCCTGGCTTTGGCCTTTAAAGTTGTCATTTTTCCCTCATTTATATATTCTCACCTATCTGCCTTCCCCCCTTCCTATCTAGTCATTCTTGTTCATTTAATCATCTGAGTGCCAAATATTGAAATCCTCTCAAATTTTTTTTTTCTCTTTAAGTAGTAGCCTTCAATCAAGTTGAATAAGGATCTCCATATGTAGTTTCTGAGTGCTCTAATACTACCCTAATTTCATTTTTGCAGAAGTGCAACAAAGGACTTGAAAAAAAAATCAGGGGTATCAGTTTAAGGATTTCATTGACCATTATTTCCATGGCTCCAAACATTGTGACATGTATCTCTGACTGAGGTATCCTGCATTGTAGACCTTGAAGCAGTTGAGCTTAAAGCACACAGAGCCTTGACCCTTGCAAAATATTCACCCTTCAAAGAGAATTTGGAACCAGGTGGATGTCCCTCTAAGTGGAAATTACCTGCTGGAAGGATGTCCACTTGGTTCCAAATGCATGCAGGAAGGCATCCACCTGATCCCAAATCTACCCTGGAGGATGCCCAGGTGGAACATACTCCTGGTTCCAAATCCACCTCTATGCACCTGTCATCCACTTGCTGTTAACCCCAGGTGGATGCAGGTGGACATTATATTAGGGACACATCACACCTTTTTCACTTGAAACCCTGGGATGCCAGTGCATCTGGGCATCATGTTACATCCCTGGCATTGCCACTACCAAGTCGTCTAGATAATCAGTTCATACAACATGTACCTGCAAGCTGTGTTACTACTTCCCTGCATCATCTAAAGGGCTGCCTCCCCAATAGGAACTCTGGGTGGTTACAGTCCTTCAGTAGTAGTGTATGTTAATGCTTTCATTAGCTTCTCTGCAATTTTGAGCATGAATTCTAAGAGTTGAAGAGTGGGCACACCCTTGTATTAATTATGCTGCTAACTGTTGGAGGAGCCAGGCATTTAGTTCATGTTCACTATCACTATCAATATCAAGTATCCACACCACCATTCTGAGCACATCACAAAGACATAGCAGTATTTGAAGTTAAAATATTCTTAAAGTATTAGGGAATTCCATATGAAACAGGAGAAAAAGCAAGCACTGTCATAATATTCACCCTCACTCATTCAATGTTGCAAAACTGTAGCATCCCTTTTCATTACACAAAACAAAGTACAATTGAATCTGATGAGTGGTAAACACTGACTCATCAAATTGCTGGAATTCTACACAATGGGTCATTTTTATGGGGTTGAAGCACTCGTCACTATTGTATGTGGTGTAAGTAAAATCACAGAATCTCAGAAATGCTCATGAGGATGGAAGCCTCTTTCCTTTTGGCCTCTGCTTTCTGTATTCATCAAAAGAGGGGAGGACAGCTCAAAAACTGAAGTATTAGGCATGATACAGCTCTGCAACATTGGGTGAAAGCCAAATGAAACTTTTCTCATTACTTCAATCAGTCATTCTAGGTTGTTGTTGCCTATCTGCAACCCTAGTACTTGTAGGGTTAAACCCTGTTTCCATTTTCTTTGTAGTTTTCCTTCTTTCTTGGTTTAGAGGTGCAGTTTAATCTGAAATTCATCCCTGCTTTGTTTCTTTACTGAGTAACTTCTTTCCTTTAGGGCAGTGATTCTCAAACTTTTTATGTTTGTGCCCCCCCCCCCCAGCAACCCAAGCTTAGCAATACACTTCCCTTTTTCCTGAGAGGAGTACGGGGAAATGTAGCCTATCCCCCAGATGCTCCTTCCATACCATGATTGAAAAATTAAAAAATTGCAACTGTTCAAGGACCAGGTCCAAATTTAAGGACAATGATGCCTGCACGCTTCTGAGCCCTCAAATGATTTAATCTGAACTGGACAGTGGCAATAACAGCACAAAGCTCATTTTCAACATCCAAATGGAACAGAATGTTCACACTGAGCAGAGGAGCCAAATGGGAGGAGAAATTTCAAAGATTTGATAAAGACCTATTTATTTAGTGAAAACCTGTGTATATCAACACTGCACTGAGTTACCTACAGCCCAAAGAGATGCATGATCCATTTGTTTTCTTGAATTGGATCATGAGAGATTGCCAATGGAAATGGACACTTGTTGAAGAAGACTCAAATTTAAAAGCTGCACTAAAAGATTGCTTTAATTTCATTTTGCACTCTTGGAGAAAGAGCCAGGTTATGCATTTCAGAGAAGAAGGGCAGTTTGTGTCCTGCTACTCTTCTTAAATCTGCTTTCTCAAATATCTTCACAAGGCTGAGAAGGAACCTGAACATTTTTAAGCAATAATAAAATAAGACATAGAAGACATAGTTTTTGATATTGTATGTCACCATAAAAAAATAAAAAATTAAAATAAAACCCCCATGACCTGTGATGCTGCCCCCCCAGTTTGAGAACTGCTGCTTTAGGGCATAACTTCATTCTATTCTTAAGTTCTTCCGCTCTCTTGACTTCTTTCCATCACTTTGTTTCTATTTTTTACTGTTACTTGTTTATTTCATCAACATTTATCTTCAGTTATCTTATGCTTTACACATCCTCTATGTATCCCTATGCCTCCTAGTCATAGGAAGATTTGATGCTATTTCAGGATATCAGGTGGATTCAAAGAGTGGTTATCAGTCAGCATAATTCCTTCATCTTTCCAGCTTTCCATCTTTAAATGCCCACATGTTTTAATGGCTGTGTACCCTATGCTTGTTTGAAATTTCTGTTTTGTATATATTGTTATTGTTTTTTTTTACAAACTTTTTAAGGTATAATGAGTTGAATAAACTGAATAAATGTGGTTAACTTAAAAAAATAGGGCTGTGCCTCTTGAAATAGCTATGTGCACCCTCCTAGGAATTGGAGATGCTTGAAGGGCAGACCACCCTCAGATCTCTTCAAATTCTTTGTTAATGCAGCCATCTTTATGGGTAAAAAATTTAATAACTGCCCCATGTCCCTCTTTATAAAAATTTGTCATTGAATCAGTTGATTAGACCACTTTACTTGAAAAGCAAACATATAGTATTAGATACAAAGCCGAAATTCCATTCAGGTGTAGACGAGACTGCTATTACGAATGTGTAGCATTCAGCATTATAGTGCTGCTCCTGGAAAGATGAAAGAATTGTCACTAGTTCTCAAATTCATCTTGTGTTTCTTTTCAAACCTGCAAATAATTGCCCCAGCAGCTTCATTAATCTTTTAAGGAGGGAGTTTTCAATCCACAGGTTCACCACTAAATGGGATTTTTTTTCTAGCAAAGTAGACTGATTTTGAATATTGAACAATTTTTCAGTTAACATTCATATTGCTTTATTGTAATTGAAGTATTATAGGTACTGATAAATATATGCAGGAGAATTCTTGCTTGGAAATATCCACCATATCCAATTGTGGGAAAAATCTCTATGATGGATAAATCTGTCATGCCCATGTAAGAAGTTGAAGGTTTCCTCCGATTAACCATGATAATAATTACTCATAAGCATCAAAATTTATTACCAAACTTGCTTTTTCAATAATATTGCTGAAAAGCAAGCGGAAATAAGAAGTGGACTGTCATCAATGGAAATACGTATCCAATGCATGCTTACTTTCAGTTATATGTTCTCAACTCTCCTGGTTTTTTTTTCAATTTGGTATTTTATGTCTTGGTCTCAGGCCCAAATTTGGTTGTATTGAGCTAGTAATTGGCAGTATGCGTTAGATATATCTGATGATATGAATGGATGGTGGCTTTGAGTGTACTATTTCTGATGGGAGGATTGCTGAGGCATTGAAGAACAAGGAAGCAGAGAAATCCAGAGCATTGAAGGAGCTGAGAGAGCAACATAGTCTGCAGATGGAGGAACAAGAACTGCAGCAGTCTTCTGCCCTTGTTGAGATGCAAGGGAAGCTCACCAGCATGGAGGTGAGGGGAATCTTGGTGCCTCCCCTTGTTCTTTCCAGTCATGATCATACACTGTGACTTACCCATTCTGTGAAGGGTTGACATCATCATATCTTAACTAATAAAGATAAAATGCAATCCTGCATGCAGACTCTTGTGGAGAGTTTGAGGCAACGTGAGATGGGACTGCAGAGAACAATAGGGAATCTAGAGGAAGAGCTGAGGAGCAAAGTGAGTCGATTCCAGGAACAGTTGAAGGATGTGGAAGCAGAACATTCTGTCACCCTAGAGCGAATCAAGGCAGATCATGAGATCCAGCTAGCACAAGAGATTCAACGCATCCATGACTGCATGACTGCTAAGCTTCAGGAACTCCAAGCACAGAGGTGAGCAGATCTCTGCATACTACCAGAAATTTCAATGCCTCATTTGAGAGTGATGAGGGATTTGTTATTTCATCAGGGAGGCTTTCCAGTCAAAGATGGGGTCTCTAGGGATGGAGAAGTCATCATTGGAGGATCGCATGAAGAAGATTGAGATGGAAAGAGATGAATTGGCTCGTGTTAATGATGTCCTCAAACAAAGCATTGAAGATGGCATTGGCTTCCGAGAAGAGTTGCAACAAAAGACTCTTGAATTGGAAAAGCTTCAGACAAGGCTCATTGAAGTGAACAAGGAAAGGGAAGAATTACTCACTGCAAAAGAGCAGGCAGTTCTCCAGCTTAAAGATGAGATGAACAAACTGGAATCCTTGACTGAGGAAATGAAGAGGAAGCAAGATGAAATGCATGAGCTTCAAGGTTCCCTGTCACATTTGGAAAAACTTTTGAGCACCAAGATGGAAGAGATCCAAAGGCAACAGGAGGAAGGTGCACAATTGCAAGATACCATCAGAAGTCTTGAGAGAGAGAAAGAAGAGCTGAAAGGCAATGCTGCATCAACAGAAGAATTGGAAGCATGTCTTCATGAGAAGATGAAGCAGTCTCTGGAAATGGAGGCTTTGCAACGGGTTTGTGAGGATCTTCAACAACAACTTGAGGACAAAGACGCTCAGATTCAAAAATTGCAATCTGAGATGTCCTTGAAGGAGGAAGAGATGAAGAGGATGCAAGTAAGGATTGAGGAATTCTCACAAACAGTGCAGGAAAAAGATGAATGCATCCGGAACCTTCAGGTCACAAGTGTCTCGTTGAATGCTCAAGTCTCTCAGCTCCAGGTTCAGGTGGAGGAAAAATCCCGTAAGATTATCTTGTTTGCAAGGGAGTTTGAGACTGTTCAATCCACTCTTGGTGATCTGCAGACAGAACTAAGGGAAAAATCTTTGGATATCCACCAATCAGCAGATGACCTCAATCAACTGGCAGCAAAGAATGAAGTATTGAGAATGGAAGTAGAGGAATTAGAAGCTGAAAGGAAGGCCTGGGTTGATGAGAAGGAGATATTGAGTCGAAGCTGTTCTGAACTTCAGGATGAACTCCAATCTCAGATGGTTGAGTACAAGTGTTTGAGGTCAGAGAGAGATAACTTATCCTCTCATTTGAAGGCCAGAGATGAAGAACTGACCAATCTTCAAGACCTCTATGGGCAAATTATGCAAGAGAAAATTAACCTTGAGGAGCGTCTAGGATGCATGGACTCAGAATTACTTGCTGCTATCCAATCATCCCAGAACCATAATTCCCAAACTGAGAGCTTAAGATCAGAATTAGTTGCTCTGGAAGAGTCCAAAAAGAAATTGGAGAAAGAATTGGATGAAAAGGGTGTCCTCCTGTTGAAGACACTTTCTGAACATGAAGAATTAAAGGGATACTTCCAGGATGTGGAAACTGACATTGCCACATGGAAGTCTTGTGTGGATCAGATTCGTCAAGAGAAAGAGGAGCTTCAGGCCCAGTTACGTGAGTCTCAACTGAGACTGGAAACAGCTGAAGAGAAAGTGAGGGCATTTATTGAGTTGCAGGGGAAGCTGGCTACTGTAGAGAATATTGAGAAACAACTCCAGGCAGAAGTTCATAGGCTTGAAGAACTCTCTGAGTCTCAGAATGCCAAGAATCTAGAACTTGAAGCTGTAGTCAATGCTCTCAAGGTGGAAATGGAAACCAAAGATGGAAATATGAAAAGTTTTGAAGAGAAGAAGAAAGAGTTGCTATCACTCAGAGAGGAATGTAAGCAGTTGCGGGAAACCCTAGAAGCCCAGGACACAAGGGAAGTGGAGGGGCGCATTTATACACTCGAGGAAGAAAAGAAATCCTATCTCCTTGAGTTGGATAGTCTCAACAGTTCTCTGATTGAAGTCTCATGTCGTTTAAGAGACTTGGAAAGGGAGAAGCAAGATCTCAAGACTCAAATTCAGGGGCTGGAAAAAGAGAAGGAGAAGCTGATGGAGAGACATGAGAAAGAGCTGCTTGACAAAATGGAGGAGATCTCTCAATTTAAGAGAGAAGTTGGGGAGTGGAAGAAGAAGAGTCAGGATATGGAAGAGCAGGTAAGGAAAATGAGAGAGGAGGGGAAGAGGGAGATGATAGAACATGATCAGCGGTGGTGCACTGTTGTTGAAGAGAAGGATGCTGAGCTTAAAGCCATCCTCTCCATGCTCAAAAAACAAACTGATGAACTAGACAACCTCCGTTCCCAAGGAGGTGACTCCTCAGAGAAGCTCCAGTGTCAATTAGGTTCTCTAGAGGAGAAATTGAAAGTAGCTACAAAGGAGAGAGAGTCCTTGCGAGAGGAGCTAGCATTAGCTGCTGTTGAGAAGGAGTCGGTTCGACTGGAGTGCTCTGAGGTGGAGAAGAAAATGATGTCACTCCAGGAAAAATGGGAGAGAAAGTCTGAGGATTTCACCTTCCTCCAGGCTGAACTTACACGCATGATTGCTGAGTATGATGCTCTGTGGGCAAATCTCAGTGCAACCCGTGATGAATTAGATCAGTTCAAGGCAAATGCTCATTCTCATGATGCTTCTGTAGAAGATCATGTGAAGGAGCTGCAAACCCAGCTGCTAGGTAAGGAATCTTCTTTGGATGCCACCCGACAAGAGCTGAATGAGCTACATGATGTAAGATCTAAGTTACTTGTAGATTTAGAAATTGCCCATGGTAGAGAAGAGATGCTGCGACTGGAGGCTATTCGCAAGGAAACAGAACTGTCCCAGTCTTTGGATCATCTAGCTCTGGAATGTGCCCGGAGATTAGAAGAGGCAAATCGAGCTAAAGATGAAGTGCTTCGCTTGACATCTGTATTGGAGACCTTGAAGGAAGACGTAGCCCACAGCAAGGCCCAGTGGGATACAGCTGGGTCCCATGTTGTTGAATGGGAAGAAAGATGTGCTGCCAAGGAAAGGGAAGTATTGGAGCTTAAGGCAGATCTCCATAGTGCCAGCAGTGAAAGGGAAGCATTAATATTGAGGGTCATCTCAATGACAACAGAATGCAACACAAGAAATGAAGAGCTGGAATGTGCTCGGCATATGCTTGTAGACACACAAGCAGAGATTAGCCACACCAAACAAGAATTGGAAAGGCTCAAGGAGCAGCTGGAAGCAGATCGAGGGGAGTTGCGAGATATTCAGATGAAACGGGATTCCCTCAAGCAGGAATTAATGCTTCATGTGGAAGCCTTGGGATCAGCTAGAGAGGAGATTGATAGACTGAGTTCTGAGGTGAAGCGACTCGGTGAGGAAAAGGAATGTTTGATGATGCGTGTTATTCAGAAGGACGGCCATATAAAGAGTTTACAGGATGAAGTGCTAAGCATTAAGGAGCAAGTGGGCACTCAAGAAATAAAGATACAGAGTTGGTGTGAGAAGGCAGGGGAATATGAACGGGAAAATGAAGGCCTCAAGGCAAGACTGGAAGAGATGAAGGCTGAGGCAGAGAAATGTAGCCAAAAGACTACCCAATGGGAAAGAGAGAGGAAAGATTTGGAAAGACAGCATGAAGATGCATTGAACAAGGCTCAGAAAACTATCCAAGCCCTCAAGGAGGACATTGAGAATCACAAAAAGGAATTTGAGACCTATCGAAAAGAATATGAAGAGATTTTGAAAGAGTCAGAGACAAAGTTTGACACAACACTCAAGGCCCTTCAGGATGAGATTGAGCGCAGGCAGCACCTTCAGGACACAGTAAGGATCCTCAATGAAGATCTGCGACAAAAGGAGAAGGAATGGAGGGCACAGCAAGATCAGATGGTTGTGGAGTATGAAAGCAAACTCCTTGAGGAGCGAGAGGAAAGTAAATACCGAGAAAGGAACCTAGAGAAGCAGTTATCTGGTCAGGTGTCAGTCTTGGAAAATGAGAAAGCTATGTTGACATCGGAACTGGAAAGTCTCCACTCCCGCATGGAAGACATGCGACAAGAACATGAACTTCAATTGGCTGCCGTTCATGATGGGATGTGTGATCAAAAGCAGAAATTGAGTCAACGCTTCCAGGAGGAATTCAGTGAACACCTACGTCTTGAGAAACTTGAGTTGGAGCAAGATTGGAGCAAGAAATTTGAGGAAGCCAATGAGGAATGGGCTTCACGATTGGCTGATGAACATGAGAGGGTCCTCAGAGAAGAACATGAATTGGAATCCTCTAATGAGATTCGTCGACTGAGGTCCCAGATTGAAGAATTGGAAGCAATAATTGCTCAGAATGCAGTACTACGGAATGATAGCGAGGAAAAGGATTTCATTTATCAGAAGCGAATCTCTGAGATGGGTAAACGAGTGCAGGAGTCAGAGAATGAGCGAGGACGCTTGAGGCAGCGCATTGATCTCCTCAATGTCCAACATTCCCAGGAGATCCAAGAATATGTGAGGACCATTCAGGATAGCCTGGAGCGAGATCTCGGGAAAGAGGATCTATTTGAACAAATGCGGAAGCTTCATGCAAAGGAAGTGCAAGAACTAGAAGCTCGGCTCCATGCACTTCAGGCAGATAGTCAAGGAGATGGGAAGAAGGTAAAAAGGAAGTTAGAGTTGCATAGAAGTCAGCATGGTTTGTGCATCTAAACATACATTGTGTGCCACTGCTAGTCGTGTTGCTTCCCTCTCCCTCTCCCTCTAACATGTCTCTAGGGTAGGAAATGTAGCATACCAATACAGGATTAGCATTGTAGCTTGGTGAGTTCTTTCTTTTCATATCATTGCTAGTGCATGCTTCAATGAGCTATACTGACATCCATGTTAAAATGGATTGCCCTGATTTTACAGAGGGTCATAGAAGAGGAAAAGAGGAATGAACTGGAGGATCTTAAAGAAAGGATGGAGGATATGAATTCAGAGTTGATTGCTCTGAGGGAAGATAAGGCAATGCTCACTGTTCAGTTGGAAACTATGGCAACATCCAACTCACACCAGGTCTGCCATATCCAGCCATATTTCACCTTTTTATGTCTGTCTCCCATGCTCACTTCATGTTTTTTTTTTATCCACATAGAAGTCAATGGATGAAGACAAGCAGAATCTGAAGGAAATTGAAGAATTTTATCAGATGCGAATTAACAACCTCACTGCACAAATTGAGAAACTTTCTGCCGCTCTTCAAGGGAGAGGTAAGCTGAGCCAGGTAGTGTTCTCTCTCGTGAAATGTAATCACTCAGCTGCTCCACTGAGCTGATATGTCTGGTTATGACAGATGCAACCGACACAGATGGGATAGCTCACCAGACCCGAGAAGAAGACAACAAAACCAGCGTATTGCTCCAAAAGCAGATAGATGAGCTCTATAAGGTATTGGCAATTTCCCATTATAGCCTCCTTGGTTTCATTATGAGTTGGAGAGTCTTAAGTTTCTGATATAGCTTTGTGACTCGTGAGCAATTCAGTAAAACTATTGACCATGAAATTATAGTCTAAGTTGATATTTTAAGGAAGAGGAAGTCCTAATGGAGAGTTAACTTCTTTGCAACTTGAACTCTTTCTGCGAGCCACGAATGAAAACCATTATTTAAAACTATAGCGAAGTAGTAACGAACGTCGTACCGTTATTTAAGATGGGTGATAAGAGCGACCCGGGAAACTACAGGCATCTTAGTCGTACTATGATCCCTAGATAGCTACACTGGTCGTCAAAATTAACGTACCAGGGTTTTTTCGAAAATATGGAACCTATGCGGCTCAAAGGGTTTGCATAGGACAGCTGCCCGTGAGTGCTGATCCGCCTAAAAAAAAAAGGGGGGGACTCTAGTTTGTTGCATCCCAGTTACGCAGTTGTTTATTTCGGCTTGAGGAAAAATGCCACTTTCAGTGAAGGATCGCTACGAGATTGATTTCTTGCCGCTCGTCCCATGGGTCCGAAGCTCTCTTCTGCCGCCATCGCGAAGTATTGATATAAAAGGATCTCAAAGCTATCGAAGGCCGGTTGGCTTAAAAGATATCGAGAAACGGGAATGGTGGAGGGAAAAGCGTGATGGCTCCGACTGTCTAAAACCCAGGTAAGATGCGGGTTTGGCGCTGCTTCTCTGCTGGAGGGTTTGGGAAGATCTCCACCTTCACCCAGAACCTGGATGCCCATCTGCTGAATACCATTTATGAGCGTGGCCTCTTGCCTTCTGCACCTACCATGTTTCCTGATTCAAGGAAGTCCTGGGTGATGCAGGAGGACAATGATCCGAAGCACACCTCAAAGCAGCCGACAAACCGGAGGGTCGAGAATGGGGTGTCCCGTTTGGAATGTCCATCTCAGTCTCTCGACCTCAACTCCACATAAAATGTGTGGGCACTCTTGAAGGCCAAAGTAGCGTATCGACACCCCAGAACAATCCGTAGTTTATGAACAGCAATCAAGGAGGTGTGGAGGAGTCGGAGCAAAGAGTTACCAAAAAAATTGGTGGACTCCATTCCAGGCCGATTACGTGCTGTAGTCGAAACGAAAGGCAATTTTACCCTCTACTGAGATCAGGGCTCGATATGTGCTTCCTGATGAAATAAAAGGTTCCCTGATGTCTCTCGTTGAATAAGAGAAAACTCCGGTACGTTAATTTTGACGCGCACTGTATCTAAGGATCATGGTCTTACCAACTTTCCGGGGAAGATCATGGAGGGCATTCTAAGGGATCACATCTTGGAATTCCTCGAGGGGAACTCTTCACTCCGAGATTCCCAGCACACTTGAAGGAGGCGACGAAACTATCTTACCGGCTTGTTCGAGTTTTACGATTGGGTGACGGAAAATAGAGATAAAGGGAATCTTGTCGATATCGTCTATTTAGACCTTGCGAAGGCCTTCGATACTGTCCCACACAAAAGGCTACGGGCTAAATTGGAAGCGCACGGGATCCACGGTAGAGTGTGTACCTGGATAGGTAACTGGCTTTCGGGTAGAGTGCAGAGGGTAATTGTAATTGGGGAAGTGTCGCCGGAAGTTGGAGTCGTGAGCCGAGTACCCAAGGGTTCGGTCTTGGGACTGCTCCTTCTGGTTTATTACTGGGTGTATCAGAGAAGACTGACACATTTGACATTTACAAGAGAAACTTGTTTGCCGGTCATTCTATTTTTTTCTGTAGGTTAATTCTCCAAGGTTTGAAGATTCATCTGCCATGGAAAAATTGGAAGTAGCTTATTGTACGAAGATTGTGGAACTATTAATAGCAAAATTCTGTGTCGATTTAGTACTTGTTCCAATTTTCTGCAAGAGGTGACAAACTGACTTGGACGGACTGCGCTGAATTGCCATTTCTACTGCTGCTATGATTTCTGGTGTTCGTGCTGTTCGCATTCGTCTTGGTCTCTTAGCATCGCCCACAGATCCTGAATCAGGGAAATTTTTTACGTTCCGCAATATTGTGTTGCGAGGTGGCGCATCTCTGACTCCTAACTCACGTCGAAACGCACGTTGTTCTTGCATAATGGAGCCTGCTGCGAAAAAGTTCCACTATCTTCGTACGATTAGCTACTTCCCACTTTTCTATGGCAGATAAAACTCCAAACCTTGCAGAATATTAATCAACAATAAAATTTGAGAACGACCAGCAAACAAGTTATTCTTGTAAATTTCAAATGTGTCAGTCATACACCCAGTCTAACCCAGAAGCAGCGGTCCTAAGAACGAACCCTTCGGTACTCCGCTCGCAACTCCAACTTCCGGCGACACTTCTTCATTTACAATTACCGTCTGCACTCTACCTACCCGAAAGCCAGTTATCCAGTTTCCAACGTAAAAAAAAAGTTCGGATAATTTTCTTTTCGCATTTTCGGATAGGACCGGATAAAATCGTTTTGCGATCTAGATTCGACCCGCGGATCTCCCTTTGAGCATTCCTAGTCAATGCGCTATATGTTTTAAGTTTGCTTTCGGCCTGTATTAACATCGAGGGCCGTAGTTTGGGGGCTCCTGCGTTAGACGATGTAATGGCTACCCCTTCCTTGACTAGCTTTAACCCATTGAGCAGTATGGCCGTACCGGTTCGGCCGCGCGCTCCCGATCCCTTAAGAATGTGGCCGTACCGGTACGGCCTTGCATCTTCGGATTCCAATTGCCACGGCTGTTCTGGCACGGTCAATTTGAGCTTTTAGCTGTAGGTTCCTGAGCTTATCCTGCCCTGGTCTGTGCTGTCATCTCGAAACCAGTACTGGAAGTAGCAGAGAAAAAAATTAGTAAATACTAAGTGTTGGGCGAGTCGTGAAAGAGGGGTTTTTAGTGAGTGCGACTCCCACACCACCAGATGCCTTGTCCATTGCGAAAGTTACATGGCCGGAATTATCATCCCCTCCATTTTCAATAGCTAATGTTACAAGCCCTGAAACTGGCAAGAAACTGATGACAAAACGCCTCACGGACAAGGTGGTGGTAGACAAGAAGTGACATAAACTAGATGCATATAGTGTTTTTGGTTAGTAAAAGCAGGGCTTCGGAACGGAACGAAAAATTTGGATTGGAACGGGAAAAATCTCTGGAACGGAGTGAAACATGGAATGTTATTCACTGATGGCTGAGGAGCGAAAAACCGAAACGGAACGAAATTGATTACTTCCGAAAACGGAAGTTTCGTTCCGTTTCGTTCCAAGTACCGTGACCCTCTTTTCCCTTCGCAATCGCGATTTTTTAAAGGAAAATTCTGGCTTATCAACAGTATGGAAAAAAAAGTTTTTTGTGTGCTAAATTTCCCTGTGAAACTTACGCGAAACAGAACGCGATGGAGCGGAAACATTTCTTGCAACGAAACGGAATTAATCATCTTGGAATGGAACAGAAACCGGAACCACATGGGGATCAGGTGGAACAGAACGTAACGAGGAATTAAAAAAAAATTCGTTCCGAAGCCCTTCGTTAGTAAGAAATTCTGAGTACGAGCCCACCCGCAAAAAAACTCCTCCTGGGGTACGGCCAGTCATTAAAAAACTCACCGCTCAATGAGTGATAATGGGTGAGAAAAGGATTGATGCCTTCGTAGGGAAAAAAGGGAGCCAAGCAGCGTTACCTAAGTAGGCAGTAGAAGGTAGTGCTTCTACAAAAATACTGTATGTATCTCTAAGCCTTAGAGTCTAAGGCCTAGCGTATTTTTCCTATTGCTAAATGAACGCTCGACCTCGACACAGTATGACATAATAGGCAGATGCCTCCTTATATTCCCAATCTTGAATCTTGAAACTGCAACCATGGAAGCATCTGCTAAAGAGATAAAGCGAGACCAAAAAGGAGCCAGTGACATCATTGGTCGATTAGAGGAAAGGAGAGTGTGTGTGTATTTAGTGTGTTCAGGTGTAATAATGACTTCCTGCTCTCATCTCCATTCTGCCAGCATCCAGACAAACGACACACCTTTTCTCTTTTCCTCCAATTGGCTCTGTGACATCAGTTTCATTTTCCTCTCCCTGTTTTCCTTGAGGGATGGTTCAATGCAGTATATTTGTTTTCAGCAATGGCTTTCATTCTCCATGACTTGAAGATGAAAGACTCAAGTTGTAAAAATAGTGGACTCCCCTTTAAGGTAGGTGTACATGAGACAATACCTTGAAAGCCATTCTTGAAAGCAATACTTTTCATGTGTAAAAAGGTGGTTGCAATATTGCCATTAACATTGCTTTTAATACAGGGTGTCCCAAAATGAATATACAAAAAAGAAAGTTGAATAACTTTGTTATTATTGGAGATAGCAACAAAATTCAAAACAAAATATCTTCTGAAGGCTTATAAGTTTTATGTAATTCAATTAATTAATCTCTACATGTCTTCCATCATTAGCTATAATCAATTTTATTCTGCATTCAAATTCTGAAAATACATTTTCCAACACAGCTGTAGAGATGGAGAAGGCAGCATCATGGATACGAGGTCAGGCGTCTTGAGGGAGCGATGGAAAAAGATTCAGGAGCTCAGGTTTCTTTCAGTCAGTTTCCCGGTGCTAGGATCGAACACATTAGGGATAGGATCGGATCGGTGGTGTGCTCCGAGTCGGCCGAGGAAGTGTCGGTGGTCCTTCACGTAGGGACCAACGATACTCCCAAGTCTGGCTCTGAA